CGCTCAGGCTCTTGCATCTCCGCCTGCGCCTGCTCCCAAGCCTTCTTGACCTTCTGCAGCTTCTTCTTCTCCTTCTTGGACAATTTCTTTCCGCCAGCGGTATCTTGTGCAAGAAGCTCAGCGGCTGCGGGTCCGGTGACCTCGCTGTCAGCCGCGGTATCGCGCACAGCGGCAACATCGCTCTCAGCAGGAAAAGAGATATCTGCCGGTACAACTGGAGGATGGGCGAGTTCTCGTAGCGCCTTGTCCGTGGGTTCCAGGGGTTGATCGTCTCGAATTGAGGGCAGCAAATTCTCGTCGTCCGCAATAGACAGGTCAGCGTCATTGGAGAGGAAGAGGATCTCTTCAGCAGAGGCGGAGGGGAGAGGTGGCAGAGCGTCATTGGCAGTGGGCAAAGCTTCAATCGGTGGCGCCGTAGTACAGTCAGTGGAAGCAAGAATGGCATCCTCAGTTGAAGTTGAGGCAGAAGGAACCGCATCGACAGACGGCGGCTCGTCATGTCCAATCGAAATGGATGAAACATGTTCGTTCAGGGGCGACGTGGTTGCCTGCTCCTCAGTTGGCATAGAGCGGGTGGCTTCGTTTGAAATAGGCGTCGTCAACTCTTCGGCCGGAGTAGCGGGAGCAACATCGGTGGACGGCAAAATTTCCTTGTCTGTAGAAACAGAGGAAGCGATGTCAGCCGAGGGAAGCGTGGTGTTATCGATGGACATCCCCTTGGCCTTCTTCTTCTTCTTGTCTTTCTTGGACTTCTTCTCGTCCGTGGGTGGCTCTGCTGAAGCGGGAGGTTCCAAGGTCTCGGTTTCTCGCTTAACCTCTGTTGCCTTTTCCTCGGCCTTAGCGTGATCGATGAGCGAGGCAGCTGCGAGTCCGGCAGCTGCGCCTCCGGCCAAGGCTGCAAGGGCAGTGTTGTGAGAGCCAGAGAGATTCTGCTCCTCGATCTCGGCCGTGCCAACTGTGGCGTCGTAAGATCTGCTAGGCGTAGGGCTTGGCGGTGTGTCTAAGGTATCACGATCCATTAGAGTTTTGATGATTGATGAGGGCGTCATGTGCAGGAGATACGAACTTCTTTCTTTGGACGTGGCTTCGACTGGTTCCGGTTCGGCAATCGTAGTTGGGCGCGCCGAAGGGCTGTCGTGAAGTGCAGGTAGCTCCTCTAGCTCTGATGTCGGGATAACCGGCTGCTTCCAGGTTCCTGCCGCATCTCTTACCGGGCTGGCGGGGAGAGCCGGCAAGTCAGCAAGCGTAGCGTGTGAAAAGGCAGATTGCCGGGCAGCGTCATCGGCAGTAGGAAGGGCAGGCGACGCTGGGCCGTAGAGGCTCCTCTCTTGAGAAATGGTATCTGCTGGTTCTGCTTTAGGCCTCATCACCGGCGTGTCCAGAGGGCTAGCAGGAAGGGGCGGCAACTCCTCATAGTAGTGTTCTGACGGGTCCGAATACTTGGCAGCGTCTGGCAATTCAGGGAGAGCAGGCGAAGGCCGCTCAAACATTACACCGGCGTGCTGGATTGCGTGCTCTGCCTTGGGGGTAGTCTCCTGCGAGCCGAATTGGCGGTCCGCCTGGTCAGGGTACCGCAACATGTCGGTGTCGATGCGAAGGTCGTTGGGCTCAAAAGGCGACGCCTGAAGTTGATTGAAGTATTTTACGTCGTCTTCGCGCAGCGAGAACTCAGGCGCAGGAGACTCCCGCGAGGACGGCTCGCTCGGAGGCAGCTCTGGGAAGTCGATGGGTGGCTCCATCGACTGGGCTGCGGATTCCTGACGAGATTGTTCCAACAGGTAGAGAGGCTTGATCTCACGGCTGCTCTCCCACGAGATCGGCCTAGAGGGGCGTCTAGCATAGGTGGCAGAAGTAGGAGTAGTGACGTGGGTGGCATCGGGGGCCGTGGTCACCGGGGGGGGCGAGGTGGGAGAGGGGCCAAAGTTGCCGGGGGAGGACGAGGGCGTGGACCTCTGTCCCAACCGTAACTTGAAAGGTACGGCGGTCTGGCTTGGACTTCGGAGCGGGGTTTCGATGTTGCTGCGCTTCCGCGAGTGGGTCTTGGGCGTCTTCGTTTCGTGCTGACGTCTCCGTTCCTCCGGAGGCGTCTCTGGCCGGCTATCAGGCAAGGCGGGAAGGTTCTCCAGCTCCTCGGTTGGAGAGCCCGGCATGCTCGGAGGCATGGGGCTGGGTGGCAAAGGAAGCAGATCGCCATATTGAGGGTCGATGGCGGGTCTGATGTCCCGCGGCACGATCTCCGGGTCGATGTCGACATCTCGGGTGGGGCTGGAAGACCTTTCCCGAGATCGAGGAATGTCGACCGACTCTTCCATTTGAGGAGGTTCAGTGGCATTGGAGCGGGACATCAGGGAGCCCAAAGCTGCCACAGCGCCCGCCAAGCCGACACCCGCGCCAAGGGTGCCGGCATTATCTAAAAAAGACGACTTCTCATCCTTGCCAGATACCTCCTTGTTGTTGCCGCCTCTGAAGAGACTGTTGAAGAAGCCGCTACTGCGCTTCTCCTCCTCTTTGGGGCTCTTCTGGTCGTCGCTCCGTCTCTTACGACCAGAACTTCCAGACGCGACTGACTTGGCATCGTCACCGTCCTCGTGCCGAGTGCCATTGGAGCGACGGTCTGACTTGTCACGTCTCGACGAGCGGTCGGAAACTACGAAGCCCGCGTCCCTCTCTTCGTCGCGAAGGCTCTTGGAACGGCGTTCCGACTTTTCGCTCCGCGAAGTGGGTTCAGAGATAACAGAGGCCACATCTCGATCGTCATGTCGACTGCTGTAAGACCGGCGTTCGGATTTGTCACGGCGGCTCGACGGGTCAGAAACCACGGAGCTCGCATCCCGATCCTCGTCACCAATGTTCTTGGATCTCCGGTCAGACTTCTCACGTCGGGTTGTGGGGTCGGAGACAATGACGGAGTTCGTGTCTTTGTCTTCGTGCCGACTGCTTCTGGAGCGGCGGTCCGACTTCTCGCGACGACTCGACGGGTCGGACACCACAGAGCTCACATCCCGGTCTTCGAATCTGAAGCGATCCCGTTGAGACTTGGTCGGAAGATCGTCCCACTCTCCAAGGTCGTCATCGCGGGTGCTGCTCCGCTCAACCATGGGGGTGTAATCGCTCTGCTTCTCGACGTCGGTCCATTCATCCGAGCTTTGCTTTGACTTCTTGGATCTCTTCTTCTTCGCGAGCGTTTCCCACGCATCTTCAGTAGTCTCCTGAGGCCCGCTGGAATGGGATCGCTCGCTCTCTAGTAGCTTTTCGCGGGAAGCGGCGGTCTCATCGCGAAGAGATCGCTCACTGGGCGGCTCATCCTCATCTTCTTGTACGACAATGATTTCGGATTTTGATGACTTGCTTCTCTTTTTCTTTTCCTTCTTGCTCGACTTGCTAGTAGCGGCTGGCTCGTAGTCAGCAGGAGCTGTCTCGGATGCTGATGCCGCAGAGGCAAGAGTTTCGCCAAAAGAACGAGGCGCGTCAGAGATGGCTGGCAAGTCCCACTTCGGTACGTCCTGGAAGCCACGATCCTTGGGGCCAGGCGCAACGACAGTTTCGGGGCTCTGGGGGGTATCATAGAAAGCACTAGGCTTCTCGTAACGAGGAACTGACCCGTCTATGGGGGCAGGCTCGTTCCACAAAGTCATCTCAGGGGCGCCGTAGTAGCTGTGCGGCCTATCGTGAGCAGAAACTGCATTCGAATAGGGATTCGACCCAGAGAGCGGCGTAGGCTGGGGGCCTCCATATCCATAGTAAGTATGCGGCCTTTCATAAACAGGGCCGGAGTCGTTGAGGGAGACCGGCGCATCTTGAGATGTGGCTCCGGGAACATCGTAGTAGCTACGAGGCTTCTCATGATCAAGGGGTGTCTCTGAGGAGGGGGTGGGTGCTGATCGCGATGAAGCCACGGGAGTGTCGTAAGTCTCATCGGCCGGCGCGTCGTCCATGCTTTGCCTCTTGGCAGCCTTCTGCTTGCGCTTTTCCTTCTTGCTGAGCTTCCTAGGGGATTCGACGTCCTCGACAGGAGGCTCCTGTTCCACGAGACGCGTTTCCTTGACCTTCCCCTTGTCACGGCGCTCTCGTGCGCGGGGGGACTCGGTAAAATGATTGTCTCCCAATTCCCTCTCGGCAGCCGGCGTCTCTGGCACCTCGCCAATGACGAACCCGCTATCCGCAGGGGCGGGCCCTTGAGACCCGTAGATGCCCAAATCAGTCACGGTCTCGGCAAAGGGCTGCTGGTAGACCATCGGCTCGCTTTGTCCTGGAGGGCTGTCGCGGCGCATGTAGGTAGGATTATCAATGACAATGTTCGGGTCAAACCCAGTGTCTTGCAGACCGGCAGCCAGTACAGAAGCAAATTCAATGTCATCTGCAAAAGCGCCAGGCATCCTCGAGGTTTGAGGGCTGGACGGCTTGGGGCCGGGGGCTGGAGGCAAGTCGTGTTCATCCTCGAACGGCTTGGAACGCTCGTGGGAAGCAGGGGGGGCAGTAGGCTCAGCGTTGGGCTCGGTCCCGCGAGATTTGGGCGACTCGGGAGGGCTATGCCTCTCCCTATGCTCGTCCGGCTTGCTCTCAAAGGGATCGCGCATATCAGGGGCTGCCGCTGCCGCTGCCGCCGCCGCTCCAGTGCCAACGGCCGCAGAGATGATGCCCCACGGTGAGCTTTTGCCCAGCTTCTTCTTCTTCTTCGACTTGCTCGAAGTACTGGAGGCAGACTTCTTGGGGGGCTCTGGGCTCTCGATATTGAAGCTCTTAGTCTCGTTCTCGCCCCAGGTGACCGACTTGGCAGTGGGCGTTGTTGGCCTTTCGATAGCCTCGCCTCTTGGTCCCAAAACAATCTCCGTGGCCGGTACAACGTCGGATGAGGGAGCACCGACTGGCTTGACTTGTCTTGGTTGAGGGGCCTCCTCCTTCTGGCTTGACGACGATGGCTCTTTCTGCTGGTCAGGAGCCGGCGTATGTCGCGGCGTGACGACAGGTGTAGGCAGGACAAGGTTCAGGAGCGGTCGTTCACGCTCGCAAGAAGGATCGCGGGACTGGAATTTCGGTCCTTCGCCGGCTGCGAGTTGGCGACCAGGGAGGCTGAAGCGGGAAAGCTCTTCGGGAATGATGATATGATCGATGCGAACATCGGCGTTGGGTGCGTCGTACGGGCTCTTGTCCTGATGGTGGTGGTGGTGTTCCATCTCGGGTGGCGTCACAATCGTGACGACCTCGGGGCCATTGTCGTGTTCCTGCCACTTGCCGACAACGGATTCGTCGTGAGGAGACGCACTGCGGGACCGCATTTCTTCCTTGGCAATCTTGCGTGCAATGACGGTCTCGCGGTAGTACCTGTCAGCCTCCTCCTGGACGGCATCCTTGACGGCCTGGGATTCATCATGGGAGCCATCCTTGGTAACCTGGTCACGGCGATGCCTTCGTGATCTCTCGGCTTCGGCGGCGATTGCGGCGGCGACGGCAGCCGCGGCGATGGGCACAGTAGCGTTCTTGGCCTCGTCGTAGATAGACTTGGCGACGCGCTCCTCCTCTTCGATTGAGTCTCCACGGCGGCGAGGTCCAGGGGGGCGGGAACGGTCTTGGGCAGCTTGCTGGTACTGTTCCAATCGCTGCTCGAGCTCGAAGGAATCCTTCCGGCTCATTCGCGACTCCGAGTAATCCGGCTTTCTTGGCGGAGAGTTGTCGAAGCTAGGCTCTCGGTCGACAGTTACGACCTGCGGAGTCAAAGGTCTCTTCGGAGTGGCGTATTTGGGCGTTTGAAAGGCATCATCAGCAACCTGGAACTGAAAAGGGTCAATAGGGGCTTGTGTACTGGGGGCATCGGGTTGCTCCACCCCATATTTATCCCGGGGTAGCTCAGTTGGTCTCTCTGGCCGCCCTGTCTCCCGGCGGACATCTACGGCTACCGTCTTACGTTCCTCCCGGCGAGGTTCTTTGGGTTCCTCACGAGGCCGGCGGTCATCGTTGGGGTCATACTCGACTCGGATCTCGTCCCCTTGGGGCAATCTGTAGACTTCCGGGCGAGGATCACGCTCGGTCGCACGTCTCTTCAAAGCCTCATAGGCGGGATCAGAGCGGCCGACGCGTTTCTTGTCTCGTCCGTCGACTACGTCCGCGTCTTTACGCCGATGAGATCGGCGAGGGTCATCTTGCTTGCGGGTTTCGCGGTCCTCCAGTTCGACCCTAATCAGCTGTTCCGGTTCATCCTTATGGCGGCTCTGCTGAGGATCGTGGGGGCCTTCTCGCCGCTTTGAGGCTTCGCTTTGAGGGCCGTCACGACGCTCACTGCGATCGCCAGAGTCTCTGCGGCTATAAGCCCTGGCCGCGCCAATGGCGGCGGCTGCGAAGCCTACACCAGCAATGGCGTTCTCTGCGGCACTCCTCCCCTTGGGCGGCGACCGGTGTTGTTTGGTGCGCTCATCTTCCTCGAACCTCTCCGCATCATAGACCTTGGACGAGACGGGGACAATGGGGATCGGCTGCTGGATGGGGACTGGCTCCGGCCGAGCCCGTTGCGGGAGATCCTGGCGAGATGAAACTACGGAGCCACGGTCGTAGTCAAACCTATCCGGGTCTGAGGTCGGTACGGGGTAGATGCGTTGCATCGGCTGCTTCCCGCTCTTGGGAAGTTCGACCTGTGCTATCGTCTCCTCGTGATGGCGGCGAGAAGAGCCAGCGGAACGTGGGTCTTCTTCGCCGAAGCCGCAGGGACTCTTGACAGCCCCACGAAGAGAGTTGACTGGACCAAAAAGACGCGGGTCTACAATGGTACTCCTCCGCTCGGGCGGCTTGATCTGCTCTGGAGACTCGGATGAGATTCTAGCCGACTTGGGCGGCTTGAAGACGGAGCCGTAGGCCAGGCCGTTGTCCGATTCGTCCGTGGTAGACTCATCCTCGGAGGCCGACTCCCAGTCATCATCCGAGGATGAGGCGGTTTGATTAGGTTTCGAGGTAGCAGATCCCCGAGCTTTGCTGTCAGTCTTGCTCTTGGGGCGGAAATGGCCGAAGGCGGCGGCGGCGGCTGCGGCTCCAGCGACTCCAGCGACCTGGGACGTGCGAGACTTGGAGGCAGCTTTCAGGTCAGCCTGGTTCTGCTTTCTGGCTATGTCTTGCAGCTGGCGGCCAATGTTGAGGATTTCTTCGTCCGTCTTGTCCCGAGGGGCCAGGGGCGGCCGGTGAGAGGCGTCAACAGCATCGGCGCGGTGTAGCGCAGGGCTCGGGCGGCCTTGGGGCATTGGGCTAGCGCGCTGGCTCTTGTCGCGGTCAACATAGCCGCGGCCATAGGCCATATCGGAGTTCACCGAGGATGAAGAGGAATTGCCGAAGGACAGGATGCGGGCCTTCTGCTTCTTCCGGCGACGGTGTTTGCGCTGCTCCGAAGGCGCCCTGAAGAATGTGCTAAAAACTCCGCCGAATTTGGGGCTCTTGGCTGAGATGTTAAGGAGGGAGGATGAGGTAGAGGAGGATGAGGATGAGCTAGAGCCACCGCGGGGGCGCATCGTCTCGGGTTCGCGAGGTTGTTGGTATGTCTGGGGCTCGACATATGGCTGCTGTTCGGTATAGCCTAGAGGATTCACAAAGACCTCTGTTGGAGGGTATTGCTCGGGGTGAGGGTATGATTGTGGTTGAGGGTGGGTGTATCTCTGAGGGTCGTCGTATCTCTCGAGACGGGCTGAGTATCTCTCGGGTTCGGGGTATCTCTGAGGGTCAGCGTAAGACTGAGGGTATTGCGATTGAGAGTACATGTGGGGGAGCGGCTGTTGTTGTTGTTGTAGTTGTTGGTATTGCTGCGACGGGCCGGGGATGGGGGAAAGGGTGGTGGTGGTGGTGGCGGCGGCGGCGGCCAGCTGCTCACGAGAATCACGGCGGTCTCTTCTTCGCCGCCGAGAGCTCTCGGGGCTCCGGCGACGCGGATCTCGCATCATGATGGCAAGGGCGTATCGAACCCTGCGATGCGCATTTGTCGTGAAGTGCACGCGCGATGGAACTGACGGGATTGACGACGGTGTGGGGTGTCGTCGGCGCGTTGGGAGGGGTTCTGTGTTTTTTCTCAGATGATTAATGGCAAGGCTGGGGGGGGTGTGGTGGGAAGCCTTACGCAGACAATAACCTGGTGATGTTATTGTTTTGTTTTTCAAGAATAAGCGACTACCTAGGCGGGACAAGCCATGAAGCTATATCCCGGGGGTCTCCCCCAAAGATTGGCTGAACGGGGGAGGGGGCAGAACTGGGCAGAGAAGGGGTGGCTGGGGGGGAACCATCTGGGACGATGGGCGCTGGGCACCCACGAAGACAGGCTAAACCCGTCCTGGCTCGACAGATGAGTAGAGAGCCAGAGGCAGCAGAAGGGTGGCGGGGCCACCTAGCGGCCCCCTTGTCCATTAAGACGAGGTGAAGCAAGGTGAGGCGAGCTGTCTCTGATAGCAGTTGGGACGAGAACCGACGAGGATTGGCCCAGAGAAACGAGCCACCTAGGTACATTGCAAGGTACATACATGGTCAGGGTTCGGATACTTGGTACTTGTACATGGGCAGTAGGTACATCGCTACCAACTAGGTATCTAACCTGGTAGGTAGGTAAGGTGTAGGTAAGGCAGGCAATTACCTACCTACTGCACGTCTGTCTGTTTAACCATGGGACCCTGTCAAATTGCGGATCCCTCTCCTCTCCCCTCCTTACCTCGCAATCCAACCTCAGCTTGTGCAGACGACCACCGTCGCCATTCACACACTCGTCTTGTTCTTTTCCCGTGTGCTACCTGTGTGTTGCAGTAACGTACGAATACACTATTGTACGAGTGTCATAGACCCCGACATGCTGCGTGGGGAGCAACCCGACTCGTCTCCCCCCGCACTTGGTTGCCAGCACATCTTTACCGCCTCTTCCCCGAATATTTCTTTTTCCCGTCATCGTGAGACGTGGTCAAGGTCGCACCTATGCTGACGAGACACGACACAGAATGCGCCTTGACTTCCGGTTATCATTCAGTCGCAGATGCCCTGCATTGTATCGAGTACACTCTTGGCCCAACCCTTCTGACGCTCGCTGCCTTCGCAATGCCGACGAAAGATTCAGAGAGATAGAAACAAGCAGGGATTTCACGTCGCAGCTGCAGCTCTACTGCAGCTTGCCCGTCCAGGTCACCTGCGGCAACACGTGTAACCACTCCGACAATCGCTCTGCTGTGTCGTGCGAGATTAGCTGCCTGCCCGTGCCAAACCTCTCATCGCCCAACGCCACAGCTGGGATTTCGCTAACCGCTCTTGATTGGTCGCGGCCGCGGCTGCCGTGCGAGAGCCACACAATGGGACACTGAGGCAGGTCGCGTATCGCGATGGCGCCAGAAAATATTTTGGCAGAAGGGTGCGAATATTACTGCGGCTGCATGGCGGCCTGAGCCAAGCCATGGTCCCTCACACGATCGATCGCGATTCGTCTTCGTTTGAGTTTGGGGATAAAGGGGGGGAGGGGAGGGGTTCGTTTCTCGCCTCGCCGTCCGCGCCTCCATAACAGATCCGGTTATGCCGGTTGACGGCTACGGACGACCCGGCGACGGTCCGCAAATACTGCGGAACCGCTCCGAACCACTCGCCTCCACCCCCTTCCCACGAGAGGGCGCCGTGCCGGCCAGGGATGACTAACCATGTTGACTCCCACGGCTCTTTCTTCAAGCTTCCTCCCACTTGCCAATTATGGCATTTGTTTCTGAAACAGTCAGATCCCTTCCGACATGTCGCTGGTATGTGCGTATGTGGCCGCATTGTCCCGGAACTGGCTCCGACAGAAGGCCAAAAACTAACATGTCGGGATCGTTCCGACCGCACCCACGCTTTACGCACTCTCAGGCGCACGGGGTCTCCTGGACGCGTACGTATGAAAAACACAAGTATGGACAAAGTGTGCATGGTCGGATTGAAAACAGGCCTTGGCCTTCGTATCTGGCTACGCCTACACCCATCGCCATGATAATTCCACTAAACGACAGCCTGGCAAAGCTCCAGCAGGAGTACTCTGGTGCCATCAGAACGGTTCTGGTTGTTACCGTACTGATCATCGCGGCCGTGTCCCTGCAGGAATATTTCAAGCCGGTAGGTAAGAGGAGGGCAAAGAATGGAGAATGGCCCCGTCTCCCTCCTGGCCCCCCGAGCCTCCCTCTCTTAGGCAATCTCCTACAAGTCACGGACGCCAAGGACGACCCGTTCAACAGAACCGTACGCTCTTCCTTCCCCGTTTGTCACTGCTGAATTCGCCCGCTCACCTGCTCCCAGCTGCACTCCCTGTCGCAATACGGCGAGATGGCAACCTTCCACCTGGGCTCCAAGACCTGGGTCTTCCTCAACAGCAGCCGCGTCGTGTCCGAGATCATCGCCAAGCGGAGCAGCCAGACCAACACGCGCGCTCCGATGCCCATCTCCAACACCCTCGTCGGCCGCGGCCTCAAGTCGCTGGTCCTGCCCCAGGAGCAGTGGACTGAGCCGCGGCGCGTGATGCATAGCCTGCTCAGCGGCACGGCGCTCCGGCAGTACGGCGAGTGGCAGGAGCTCGAGAGCACGCAGATGATGGCCGAGTACGTCATCCGGCCCGGCGCGTGGTACAGGCACCACTACCGATATGCCAACTCGGTCATCCACCGCATCGCCCTCGGGGAGCGCATGGTCAAGACGCCCGAGGAGCTCGTTGAGATGCAGAACGCCGTGACCTTCTTCGTCGGGAGCATTGGCACCAGCGTCGTCGACTGGTTCCCGGACCTCGCCAGACTGCCACGGTTCCTGCAGATCTGGCGCCCCCACTGGAAGGAGGTGGGTGACTGGAACTACGACCTGTACAGCAGGTGGTACAACCCCATCAAGGAAAAGGTCGAGAACGGCACAGCCCCGCCGTCCTTTGTCCGCGACGTCCTGCTGAACCCGGACACGCGGTACAGAGGCAGCCACGACGAGGGCATGTACGTCGCCATGTCGCTCATCGAGGCCGGCAGCGACACGACCAGGGAGGCGCTCAACATCATGACCATGGCGGCGCTCGAGTACCCCGACGTGTTCGTCAAGGCCCGCGACGAGGTGGACCGCGTCTGCGGTGTCGGTGAGCACGCCCGGCTGCCCACCCTCGCCGACATGGACGAACTGCGCTACATCTGCGCCATGGCCAAGGAGGTCCTGCGCTGGCGGCCCATCTTCCCCCTCACCCCGGACCACACGGCGACGCAGGACATCGAGTTCGAGGGCTACTACTTCCCGGCCGGCACCGGCTTCACAATCAACGGGCCTGCCGTGAGCTACGAGTGCGAGGCACCCGAGGACTTCGTGCCCGAGCGTTGGCTCGACGGCCACGAAACGGACATCGCGCACGGCCTATGGGCCTTTGGCGGCGGCCGCCGCATCTGCGTGGGCTACCGCTTGGCCCAGCGCAGCCTGTTTCTCAACATCGCCAGGCTAGCCCAGTGTGTCGACTACAAACCCGTAAGTCTTTTTTTGTTTGGTTTTGATCTTGTCTTTTTTTTTTTTTCCTTTCTTTTTTTTTCACCCTGTTTCCTGTTGCCCGTCTCCTACGCCGTAACCCGACCCCGAGCTCACCAACGGTTCCCAGAACGGCCCCTACAACAGCCACATACTGAACCTGGATGCGGCCGGCGAGCCGTTCCCTGTCAAGGTCACGATGCGCAGCCCCGCCTACAAAGCGCTCATCCTACGCGAAGCGGAAGCCGCCGGGGTTCTGGAGCACGCGAAATTGTTCCGAGATGAGGACGGCTCCCGAGTGGAACTCGGGAGCGAAATGTGTAGGTTTACCAACCGCCTATTCAAGCATCTATAATAAAGTGCTTTGGTGTCATCCTTAATTCATCGTGTACATGGCCTGCGTTCCCGACTTTTTTTTTTTCTTCTTCGGATTCAGGGGTTAAACGACTCGAAGCCCGGCATCTCCCACCCGCGAAAAAGTGACAGGGGATCGGGGTCTAAGAGGAGCGACACGTCAATATCTCCCGGGGAAGACCAGCTCCCCGTCACGTCCGCGCAGAGACTCGGGTCGATGTGCTCGCCCGACGGCTCTCGTACTAAAAATCAAATAAATAATCAACATTGGTTCCACCGAACTGTCCCCGTCGAGCGCTCTCTTCCCATGGCGTGACTCACCTGTCAGCAGCTGCGTGACGGCCATGTCGATCTTCCGGAGCAGGTCCAGCGACTTGAGGGCGGAGACGCTGACGTTGGCGATGCTCTTGAGGATCTCCTGGCAATGCTCCCAGGAGGCCGCGACAACGGCGTGATCCAGCCGCGCCCAGAGAGGCGGGTATATGCGGCAGACGATGAGGACCAGGCCGGCGGTGCAGGCGTCTGCGAGCTGTCAGCTGCCGTGACGCCATGTATCATGTAAATCAAGGACTAACCCCATTTGGGGGAAGTCGAGAGGAGGGATGGTTCCTCACATAAGCTGTTCCACCACCACGCCCCCGTCGTGTCGGTCTGGTAGGAGCCATTTACCAAGGAGATGAGCTGGGAGGCCGTGTCCACGCATACCCTGGCGCACTCGGTTGTAAAAGGGGCTCGGAGGCCCTTGTCTGGCGAATTTCTCGGCGCGGGCTCGCCGAGGTCGGGTTCCTGGCGAGGTCTGGCAAAGGCCGCCGAGAGCTTGGTCAGAACCGGCCGGTGTAGCGTGAGACGCACGTAGAGGAACCTAGGTTTCGGCAGGCTCAGCACATATGAGAGAGAAAGAGAGAGAGAGAAAAAAGAAAAGAAAAGAAAAGACAAGGAGGAGGGGTTGTTTTTCGGCAAACCGACCTCGCTTGAAGCACGTGCTTCTGTATGGCAATGGTTTTCGGGTCTTCCGGGGCCAGCAGTCCCTCCGACGGCGACACGGACTGCCACGACAGGAAGCGCGGCACCGCCCTCTCAAAGTCGTCCAGTCGTGTATCGAGCTCGACGATGGCGTCGAGGCTCGGCATCCCGTCCGCCGCCGCCGTCGCGCTGCCGGGGCTGCGGAGCCGCTCGTTTTGCTGGCAGCTCCGCCAGGGCTGGTATATCTTGCACAGTATGTCTTCCAGCACCAGGCTCAGCTTGAAGCTTTGCGAGTTGAATTGCAGCCTCACTTTCTCGGCGTCCGTCTCGGTCATGGACTGCGGCCGTGGCAGCAGGTCGTTCATGGCAAGGCAGGCGGCCACGGTCGGCCGGCCATACGTCATGCTCACGAGACTGGTTTTCGGTTAGTTGTATTTTTTCTTCTTTTTTCTTTTCCTTTCGAGACTCTATTTTTCTTTTCTTTTTTTCCTTTCCCCCACGGCATGTCTACCGAAAAGACTCACGTGTCCATGATAACGCATCCTTGCCACGTCCGTCGCCGGATCTCCTTCTCCAACGTCGCGTTCCCGGGCTGCCGGGCCGCCTCCATGTGGAGGCCAAGCCCCTGGGCGACACGGCACGCTATGCCGATGGCATTCCAGCACCGGTCCGGGAAGGGTGTCGCCTGCATCATAAGGCCGCAGAGGAGCAGCGTCTGCACGACGCCTAGGTTGTTCTTTTCCAGCAGTTCGATACCGAAGTACTGCCGGCTACGGAGCAGAAAGACCTCGATGCCCTTGGCCTTCTCGGAGGGCGTCAGGTCCGCGTAGTTGCACGCGAGGGCGAACATGGAGTTGAGCGCGCCGTGGAAGACGATGGTCCGGGCGTCGGCGCCGGGGGAGCTGCCCAGGCCGACGCCGCGGAACCGGTTCGCGGCGGCGTCGGCGTCGGCGGCCGTGGCGGGCCGCCAGAGGGTCTGGTACCCGTGCTCGAAGGCCGGCCAGTGGAAGACCGGGTAGAGGTAGTGGATCCTGCGGAAGTAGATCTGGATGAGGTGATCGGCGAACGGCCGGGGTGGGAGGAGGAACTTGTCAAAGTCGGCAAAGGGCAACCGGTCGGGCACCGGCGCGGCCTGCTGGTGGTTCCTGAACAGGGAGGAGGGTTCGGCTCTCGAGAGGAGCGGATTCATCGCGCTGTAGGCCTCCTTCAAAAAGGACACGGCCGAGGAGCTGCCGTAAAAGTCGTCTTCCGCGTGGTCCGGTGTGTCTTCGAGCTTGTCTTCGGCAAAGATAGTGCCCATGGCCGTCACTCTCCTAGGTTCGCCGGAGTGCTCCATGCCGATGCCTGAATATGGCGAAGGTAGCTGGACCGGCGATTGATCCATCATCCCCGGCGCATCCACCAGGCCGGGCTCGCGGGCCGGAGAGGAGTGCTTATCCAACAGCGAGTGAGGGCCCGGCTCAGTGGTCTCGAGCGTGGTGATGTCAATGCCATGGGCTATGCAGGCTTGCTCCAACTTGCGGATGCGCTCATGAAGAGTCTTTGTGTAACTGCGGGAGGTCAGCGTGAACCCGGACAGGCAGCCATTCTCAAGAGCAGTGAAGGGCTCACTCACTCATCACTACACGCGGTCCTCGCGTTGCCGGCCTTGTAGACACATTGCTCCAGGTCCAGAGACCTGCGCTGGCAGGTTGAGCAGATGGGCTTGCCGCCGTCGCAACGGGCCTTCCGCTCCCGGCACGGCTCACATGCCAGTGCAATCTTTCGACGACGTTGACGTTCCTGTAGCTCGGGCGGCATCGCGAGAAAACGGCGTCCTTCTGCCGTGCAGCGTCGGAAAGGTTCCGGATGGGAGCAGAGCAAGCAACCCAGGCATGACACATACTTGTCTACTGCCCGCGGAGCTCTCTGTCTAGAGTCACTTGGCTAATCAGCTGAGAACTGAAACAGGAGTATCGTGGACGGCCGTCAGTGCGGGGTTGGGGGAGTTACTGCTAAGTCCACGGACATGGTCTTTTTTCAATATTGTTATAGATCGGACGACGAATTCACCCAACGGACACGGAACGTGAGAAGCTCCTCCCCCCCAGCTCACCATGGTCTCTAGTAGTCTAGCTCAGCGGCGCGCACATGTCTCACCAGTGTCGAGCTCGCAGGTAAGTCGTGTTTTCTGCGTCTCACTAGTTGCGACGTGGGTCATGAGGCGAGTCGATGTCAAAATAAAAAGATCTTACACGCAACAGCGGCGACTGTGAGCAAGCCGAAACAATCAATACAAGACTTTCTTGACCGTGCGCTCAGCAACCTCAAGTAAGGAAATATGTACTAATCCAAGTCTCTTCGGAGTTGTGTTATATACATCCGGCAGAGTGGCGTGAAGCGAAAACACAAAAAGAAAAAACCCACTTCATGCCGATCCTGGACGCTTCGGATACCACAGAACATATGAACACGACGGGAGAAAATGGACGCCAACATCCGTCTAAGCGTTATTCACAGCCAACCCCTACCCCTGCCTGCCCAAATAACCCCAAGCCGCCAGCCCGGTCGCCGCGAGAAGGACGATAAGAAGCCAGTCGCTAGGCCATCGCTTCCGAATCGAGGAAACCATCGTGGCCGGTCCCTGTCACGTTCAGTCAGCACAGATCGCCATCATTGCCGACGTCGATCATCCTCGGCGACGGCACGCGCGGGGGGACAGGGGACCAACTTACAGCATACTCCCAGTGCGAGTAGATGGGGAACAGGCAGCGGTACCAGAAGTACGCCTGAGAGTAGGGGTAGCCCATGGCGTTCCACTTCTTCAAGCTGCCGTCTTCTCCCTCGATAAAGTACCAGCTGCGGCAGCCCGAGTTCCAGACCGTCTTCTGCAGCGCGTTCTGCATCTCGTCCGTGTAGTCCTCCTCCGCCTCGCGCCTCACCTCCGCCCTGGCCGCGCGGCCCTCCAGCACCGGCTTGAATACGCGCAGCGAGTAGTTGATGTTGTTCTCCAGGGCCATGATGGCCGACGTGTGTCCCGTCACGACGTTGGGGCCTGGAGGGGCGTGTGTGTCCTATTCAGTCCGCGTTCGACTTCCCAAAGAATGCAGGGGACGGGCCCTGTACTCACCTAAGAGCAGGACGAAGTTGGGGAACCCGCTCAGCGCTGAACCAAGGTAGGCCATAGGCCCGCCGAAGGATTCCCAGTGCCTCTGCAAGGTCTCGCCGCGGCGCCCGACGATGTCGATGCCGGCCGCGAACTCGTTGGTGTGGTAGCCGATGGCCATGATGATGACATCGGCCTCGATCAGCCCCTTGTCCGTCCGCACGCCCTCCGGCACGATCTCCAACGGCTTGTCGTTCGTCAGCGTCATGTTGTCGGCGTGGAGGCTCTCGAGGTACCCGGCGTCGAAGATGCGCCGCTTGCAGCCGACCTCGAAGTCCGGGATCAGCAGGTCGTGGTATTTCTCGGGCGCCGTAGCCCGCATGTAGCCCTCGGTGATCCGCTGCTGCTGCTCGCGGAACATCTTGCCAGCCCTCGTCAGCGGGAACCCTAGGAAGGCGTACTCGGCTATGGCGAAGACGCCGAACCGCTGCAAGGTCGTCATGCCGGGGATGCGATTCACGACGAAGCGGACAAAGTCCGGTACCTTCCTGTCGATGGGCGGGTAGATCCAATGCTTCGACCGGATGATCTGCGTCAGGGACTTGACCTTGTGGACGATGGACGGGACGACCTGGGCCGCGGTGCAGCCGTTGCCGAAGAGCACCACTCTCTTCCCCTCGAGGTCGATGTCCGGCCTCCACTTGCCGGTGTGGCAGATGACGCCCTTGAAGGTCTCGGCGCCCGGCACATCGATCTCGTTGGGGGTCACCAGGGCGCCCGTTCCGACAAATAGAAACTGACACTCGTGGAAGTAGACGGCCCCCGACTTGAGATGGCGGATGGCCATGCGCCACCTCGCCCGCTCCTCGACCCATTCGCAGCGCTCGACCGAGACGTTGAAGGCCATCTTCCTAACCAGGTCGTACTTGTGGGCGACCCGGTTGAGGTAGTTCCAGAGCTCCGAGTAGGTCGGCAGGACCCTGCTCCAGTCGGGGTTGGACTCGAACGAGAAGCTGTACAGCGCGCTGGGGACATCGCAGGCGCACCCTAGACGACGGGGGCTGTAAATGTCAGTCGTTCTTGGGGGAAACACCATGTCAAAGCTGATGAAGATAGGCTGTCCCCTACCTGGGTACTTGTTGATGAACCACGTCCCGCCCAGCGTGTGGTGCCGCTCGAAGAACTGGATGTCCTCAATGCCGTACCACCGCTTCAGCTGCGCGCCCGTACCGATGCCCGCGAAACCGCTTCCGACACAGGCGAACTGGCTGTAAGTCACCTTCTCGTCCTTTCCGGCCTCAACGTACCGCGCCATACTCGGGATGTTGTCGGTTGGTAGGAATGCGTGCGTAGTTGTGGCGGTATGGATATGGAGAAGATGCTGAGAATCGAGACGTGATTACATTTGCATTTGTTTGTGCGAAAACCGCGGGGCACAAATTTCAATAAATACCAAGTAGCAGAAAGATCCCAAGTAAACTCTCCAATATATTCAAACGCCGCGGTTTCTTCCCCGTCCCATTTGTGACGCGAGCTCTAATTCACTCCGTACGCAGCTATAACACGGGCTCGGGTGCTTTCCGTAAACGGACGTTGAAACGTGTGCGGAAGCGTTCCTATTGGCGCTGAGGGTCGGAACCATCCCGACAAAGCTGTTGACCCTCGCGGAGCAGGGGGCGGGAAGGTTCTCGAGCAAGCTTCAGATCACCGGGCTCGCTCTCATCATCAGGCTTCGAGTATCGGATGTTATGCGCGAGGAAAGATGGTCGCCATGGAATACTCTTGTGTTTTCTTTCAAAGCTCTACCCCTACCTGGCACGGCTTAGATCATGTGCGAATCATTGGACGTAGTTCATTCAAGCGATGTATCGTATTAAAGGCGAAAAAGTATGATTGCATCGGAGCTATTGACTACAGTAATGAAACTGTTCGTGCTACAATTATAGCGTCTTGATAGATCCCCCCCTCGGCTCACACTCTGGCCTTCAAGTAGCGCTACGGCCTCCCGGCATTTCCAACTTTCCGGTCTTGCTGTTGACTGTTTGATAGCCGGCAAGGTCAACCGTGAGCTTCTGGGTCTCTTCCCTGGCCATCCTTAAGAGCCACTCGGGTCCGCCCCGCTGGCAAATATAGGGCTGTCATTAGTCTTTCCATGACGGGTCTCAGATCAGCGACTTACCAACATGGCCACGTATCGCATGATGCCCGGCATGTAGATCGTCTTCCCGAAGCCACTGTAGAGAGTGTCCACGAACAACCGGGCTACCGTTTCTGATTCGATAAGCGGAAAGAGGAACGGCGACTGCCCCGACCGGTCGCTCCTGAAAAATGGCGTCTTGATGAAGCCGAAGACGCCGAGTGTCAATCGCACCTTGGGCGCTTGATTGACATACCTAAGTTCCAGTTGGAGGGCCTGTATAACCGCATCAGCAACTTACAGGGTGTGGCTGGCTCATGTTCTCGTAAGCCTCTCGACGCATACCTCGTGGAGAGCTATCAGCCCGGCCTTGGTGGCCGCGTAGTCCGCGATCCGAGCGGGCGGCATCATCGCGCTCATGGACCCCACGTGGATGATGTGGCCGTGGTTCGACTTCACCATGTGCGGGAGGAACTCCTTCACCAGCAGGAACGGAGCGACGAGGTTCGTGTTGATCGTCAGCTCGACGTCCGTGTAAGTCCCGTCCATGACCGAGAACCCACGCGAGAGGCCGGCGTTGTTCATGAGCACGGTCGGGTTGCCCACCTCGCGCCTCACGCGTTCGCACAGGGTCCTGATTGCCGCCTTGTCGCTGAGGTCGCACTGAAAATATCGCACATTCGCCTCAGGCGCCGGCCGCCAGGTAAGAGGGACGTAGTCCACGACGACAACCGTCGTGCGGGGGTCGCGAGCCACGAGCTGCTGGGCCACGGTGGCGCCGATGCCGCTGCTGCCTCCGGTGATGAGCACCACCTCGTTATCCCAGTCCCATGTGTCGTCCCTCGTCCAGTTGTTGGCGGTCCACTTGTTCAGCTGCTCGTGGAGCCGCAAGGCCAGACCGGCTGCAGTGAGGAGCCATACCGTCAGGAGAAGTTGAGGGAGACCACTATGCAACCCGCGGGCACCGAGCGTGTCCGTTTTCAATATCCAACTCACCGCCGCTGAGGCCGGGGCAGTGACCCCGGGGTTGAAGACGGTGCTGCGAAGCACCGTAGCAATCGTGTCGATGTTCCAGTGTTTTATTATAGATGACATGATGCGTACGCGTCGAATGTCACAGTCTGCACACTAGACGGTAAGAGTCCCAGCTTGGGTTATGTCTTGATCCCGGAGGACAAGAAAGGAAATACGTGCCTAGGATTTTTGTTCCAGGAGTGCAGCGCAAGCAGACAATTGACTCTGCGTCCGTCCGCCCGTCCGTGCATCGTCGTCGTCCAACTCGAGACGATGGAACGATCCCGCCCCCCGCCCCCCATGGCATCGGACCAATTCCGACGCTTCCAGTAGCTCCCCGTAATAACGCATCAACAGGCAAGAAGCTTTGCGTCAGCACGGTATGCGATCTTCAAATGCCATGAACACCAGTCAAGCATAGGGGCCGAGGGTCGATATGTCTCGGTCCCCCGCTCGTAGCCTACCCCTCCCACTAGCGGCCCAACTCGGGGTTCCAGCTGAAAAGCTAAACAAGACAATTCATATTCGCACCTCGCGTCGCCGAGGGCATTACGAACCTCCCCCCCTCGCTGTTATTTCGCATACTGTCCAGCAGCCAGAGTCGCATCACACCCAAAATCCCCATCATGGCTTCGGTGCAGACCCCACTAGGTCCCTTCGGGCTGCTGAACATGCTTATCCGCCTCCTCTTCGGTGAGTTTGAATCGCGTGGCAACCACTACGGTCCGGGCCGCCGCTTACACACACATGAACAGTCGTGCCTCTCTTACTCTTCACCGTGATCCGCGGGCTTCCGATCGCCATTCGCCGCGGGGTCTCGATCAAGTTCTGGCTCCTGAGCGCTTTCTACCGCGTCGTGATGGGCTACCTCAAACCCGTCGAGATACAATACCTTGCCGCCCCTGCGCGGCGGGTTTATCCGACATGGCTTGCGAAGAAGAGGACTAATGCCTCACGTCTTGGGAACGCCAATGCTCTCAACCGGCTAGTTGAGGATGTCGAACCGCTCGGTGAGGTGGGCGCCCGCATCATGTGGCTCGGAGACCGCAAGAAGGCTGCGAAAGTCGTGCTCTTCTTCCACGGGGGTGGATACGTCGCCCCCATCTTGAAGGGCCATTTCACGTGGTGTTGGAATTGTTACGTCGGCGACGGTCCCGGCGTGAAGGGCGAGGTAGCCGTCGCCATCCTCGAGTACACGCTCTGCCCGCAGGCACAGTACCCGACGCAGCTGCAGCAGGCCGTCGCAGCACTGAACCACGTCTTGAAATCCGGCATCGCGCCCGGCGACCTAGTAATGGGGGGGGACTCGGCCGGGGGCAACCTGACCTGCCAGGTGATCAACCACATCCTTCGCCCGCACCAGGAGGTCGAGCCTGTCCGCCTCCGAAGTCCGCTAGCTGGCGTGTTCATGGTCTCGCCACTTCTCACCTTCCGGACGGAGACGGCCTCGTTCCGCGATAACGGCCACGTAGACATGCTCTCAGCTGCCATCGTTAGCAGAGGCAACACGTACATCTTCCCGGTCGAATCTCTCAAGAGGCGGGCCGCGAACCCTCACCGACCGCTGCCTCTGGACGGCGACTCCGAGTGGTTCGGCGAGATCCAGACCGTCGCCAAGGCGGTCTACTTCACTGCCGGTGAGCAGGAGGTGTTCCGAGACGATGTGCGGGCGTTCGCGGAGGCTGTGAGGCGGTGCAACCCGGACGTGGACGTCAAGCTGGACGTGGCGGCCAACGAGATCCACGATTCGATACTGCTCGAGTCTGAGCTCGGCGTGATAGGAGATGCCACTAAGAGGATGAGGCAGTGGGCTTCCAAGTGTCTTGCGTAACCCCGATGTCTTTGTGCCTAGCGGGCCATCGTGTAGACCTAATTAGCAACGTATCAGCTTGTCTTCCTGGCGTTACGAAAGAAATAAAGGACATTTCCTGTGACATACCTTAGGTTGCTATAGGCCGCCATCCCTTTACCAAGGCCATACATGGCCACGCTTCCTCTCGACGTCCCACTCGGGTAAGCTCCAGCCAGTTGCACTGTGCAAGAAATAAACCAACTGCAATGTTATGTAAATGTAGCATCGTCGAGCACTGATCGTCGACTTGGTCAGGGATCCGGTGCATCAAACAGAGGTTCATGAACAAACAAAAGGCTGCCGTCCGGCCCGTTCCTTCTCGTTGGCAATCATTGTCTGGTCCTGGATGGTTGGCATGGGCCAGTCTCGTGCCAGGCCTGGTGATCGGTGTCGCAGACCTGCACGATTCGACAGTCTGTAGAAAATGATGAGTCGACCTAGCAGAGGGCTGCGCTGCCGAGGGTTCCAACGGCCACCGAGAGAGCGCTTTGCAATTCCATCAAACAAAATCAAATAGACCAGGGTAGACTCGAGCCGAGGTCACGATACCCGAAGGTGCTTGGGGCAGAAGGCGGGGTGGGTGTCTTCGCGTCGCTCCTTCCGATCGACAAAACAGCGCCCCTTCCGTCATCAAGTACCACTAACAATCGACAAACGAATGCACGTCAAACACGCAGCAAGGACTCAGGTCAGGAACGGAAACGGAGAAGAATAAGTGACTAGATAAATGCAACTTCGTCCAATCTCTCCCCTCCCCTCCCTTCCCCTCCCTCTAATCCATCAAAACGAAGAAAAAGGAGCGTATCCGATTCGTCGCCCTGTGAGACCATCCCCCAGGTATTACTCAATAGCCGAAGCCAAGACCCCCTCCCCTCCACCAACACGGGAAGGAAGCACTTACGCGATATTTACATGATGAAAACTAGCCAAAGGTAAGGGAACAACAGAGACAAGCATGTCACTTCCCCTGGGGACGAAACCCCTAAAAGCTGCCCGCTGCGCGTTCCACAATTTGCATTTGAGGCTCTTATCCTCTCTTTTGACGACACACCCTCCTCTACCTGTCCCGTTGTAGTTCGTCGTGGGTTGTTTAAATCAACGTCGCTCGTCTGCACAGCAAACACCGCCCCGTCCGATAGTATCCAAGCCACAAGTTCATGCTATCTTATCTCCTCCATGCGCCACACACACACACACACACACACACACTTATCGCGCTCTGCGCCCGCACGCTCGCAACGCCCGCAACGCCCGCAAAAACACCACCCTGCCCACCTCTTGCGCCCGCACGATCCATACACTCGGGTTTATCGTGCCTTTAACCCTCTCACCCCAACGGCGGGATCTCTGTCGCGCGTGCAGCACCTAATCGAAGGAGGTTTTTTCTTCTTATTTTTCCTCCCCTTCTTCAGAGATAAGCTAGGGGGGTGGTTTGGTTCTTCCCGAAATCCGGGGAAGCGTAAGGCAGCTTGCGCCCGCACGATCTCGGGAAGGTCGTGCAGCTTAAATGTACATCGTGAGCCGCATCTTGAATATGACTTCATTCTTCAACGTCTCTTTGACGACGTCTCCCCAACTTCGCTCCATCGGCCGTGCTCTTTGCTTGCCAAGGGTGCCGGAAGATGAGCTGCTTCCAATTTCCCACTAGGCGCCCTCGCACGCCCCTCCCTCTCTTCCACTTCCACCTCTTCACTCTGACTGACTTCCGACTTTTCCCATTCTTCCATTCTCCCGCTCTCCCACCCTTCCACTCTCCAGCCCCAGCTCATCCGTTCGCTCCGATTTACTTTGCATTACCCCCTTTGCCGACCAAGAGATAGGGAATCACAATGTCCGTACAAGGGGGTTAGTTACATGGACTCCACGTCCTCTCGTATCTCCCCCCTCCTTGCGCCCTTGATTGACGCTCCAAGATGCCGAAAAAGACTGTACCCCCAAACTGTTGCTAGTTTAATCCACTGTCTCGACGGCGTAACAAAGTGGGTATTGTTCAATCCGCGAAAGGGGGGGAAGCACTTGCTTGGGGGTCGCAGCTGGGTTTGTCCATTCAGAGCTGGATTCCTTATCTCTGCGGGTGGAGACCAACACACCTAAGAACCACGACCCGACGCCGAGCTAATTAGTGTAAGGGTAGCGCAAGCGGGTGCCCGATCATCATGGAAAACAAGGATTATCGGAAATGCGAGGGATGCCCAGGCAGGGGGTGTTGCCTGATGGCGACGCCTGTCGCTGCTCACTAGCCATCCATCCATCCATCCATGATTTACAACCCTCCAAAAATCCACCTCACGGTCAGCCCCGATAGCCTACGATGTACTCCGTACATGGTAGGCGATATGGCAGGGGGAAGAGCATGGCGCTGGCGGCAATTGGTTGAGGACCTGATTACCAACTGCAACGTCCTATAACGGCCATCGGCTTATCCTCATGATGCCGCGGCGCTTGACCTGGCCAGAAACACCGGTTCGCCCCAACACGCAACACGGCGCATCACAGTAGGCCGTGAGCTGAGGGCAAGAGGCACCACAACCGTCTCATGGACAGACAGCCTCGGGACGAAAGGAAATGAGGGACGAGGTTCCGGCCGAGAAGGCCCTGCGGTCGCCCGAGCCCGACCTGGCAGAGCCCGCTCGCTATGCTTGCAAGATGCCAATGTTAAGGGCCAAGGACGGCTGTGTTGTCCCCAAATGGAGTAAGAGGACGGGCCAGAATGCAAGAAAGGAAAGAAAAAAGCAATTAGAGAGAAAGGGGGTACCTCATTTCCTGGCCACCTTGTTCAGGGATCGCCTGAAAACTCTCGTCTCTTGAGTCGCGCGCGGAAAGTCTGAGCTCAAAGCCTAATCACCCATCCTCTTCTCGTCCAACAGTCGAGACGAGAGAAAGAAAGTGGGGAAGCTGCACCGCCTCCTTGTTGTATCTTCAGAGACGAATGTTAAAAGGTCGGGCGACGTGCTGAACTTGACCCAGAGTTGGCCAATCGTAGCCCAGGCGACCGAAATAAAGCTTGTGCCAAGGTTGACGACTGCGTTTCGATCCTCCCACACATCCTTCTGACCTCCCAACTTGCTACACCGCAGCGTCCCGCCAAGCCTGTTTGGTGCGCTGGCCCTACTGAAGGATGAGACATGAAGTTACACCGCACGCATCAACGCCCCTAAAGGAATGTGTGTCCTTTTCGTTGTTTTTGCCAGCTACGAATCCGGAGGCAGGTCATGGGTCACTGGTGTGCGGCATAAGGTGGTACGAATAGATGGATAGATTCGCTTTTGGCATCTCGGTATACCATGGGGTATTAACTAAACGAAATACGGTCGCTGCGCATTTTCTGCGGTATATCCTTCCAACAACAAAACAAGAACATGGCCCTAGATCAATCCCGTCCCTGTAGATAACGCCTCGCTTTTTGACGCCATCTTGCCGTCAAAATCAGATTGTACAATTCGAAACCGCATGACTCGCGTACGCTTTCTCAAAGCGAAGGCGTCTTCTCGCTCTTGGGCTCGCCTTCGCGCGTCGCAGGCTTGGGCTCGTCTGAACCACTGCTTCCACCGTTGTTGGCCATATTCTGGTGCTCCTCGATGCCGTGTTGAGGGATGAACTTGCCCTCGCCGACGGGCTCGGCCTGGTGGGGAGTCCAGGCGAGGAAGTCGCGGCGCACTTCGACGTAGTCGTACGAGAACTCTCCGTGCTGGTCGTCGTCCATACCCAGCAGCTCAGCCTCTTCGGACGCGCGGAGCTTGAGGCCGGGAATCATGTCGATGATCTTGGCAATGAGCGCAGACATGACAAACGCGTAGGCGCTGCAGGCGACAAGGTAGGCAATTTGGATGTACATAAGCTTGTAGTTGCCGTCAACCCAGCCGCCAGTTACGCCGACGTTGACACCGTCGAGGCCGATGATGGAGCCGGAGGCGAAGAAGGCGTTGAAGATGAGGCCGACGATTCCGCCGATACCGTGCTCGGCGAAGACGTCGAGGGAGTCGTCGATCTTGAGAAGGAACTTAACTGTAGGATTGTCAGTACTGCGTGTAAAGGGGTAGCATGACGAGGGTGCTTACTCTTTGTGCCAAAGTTGCAAGCAACGCCGGCAACAACACCAAGGATGATGGAGGCCCAAGGAGTGATGACACCAGAGGCAGGAGTGGCGGCGACCAAGCCGGAAATGGTTCCGGAGCACCAGCCAACAAGAGACCACTTCTTGGCCAGGCGGAAATCGAGCAAGCACCAGGTCATTGCGGCGAACATGGCTGTCAGGCAAGAATTCCAGCAAGCCATGGCAGCGCGAAGGTTGGCACCGAAGGCAGAGCCACCATTGAAGCCCAACCAGCCGAACCAGAGGAGAATGGTGCCGAGAGTAATGAGAGAGATGTTGTGGGGACGGAAGTTGAGCATCATCTTCTCGTTGCGGCGTCCGAGGACCCAAGAGTAGGCGAGAGCCGACATGCCGGAGCCGATCTCGACGGGACCGCCGCCGGCGTAGTCGAGGACGCCGTACTTGAAAGCCCAGCCGTTGGCGTTCCAGGCCCAGCAGGCGAGAGGGGAGTAGACGAGGGTGGCCCAGAAAAAGATGAAGACCATGCAAGGAACAACACGGCCACGCTCAGCAGTGGCACCAGCGGTGAGGGCGGCGGTGACGGCGCAGAACATCATCTGGTAGAAGGAGTAAAGCAGGGCGGGAACGAGAGGCGAGCCCTGGGACGGGGTAGCGAGAACCTTCTGGAGGCCGAAGTGTCGAAGGTCACCGATGAAACCGTTGGTGGCAGTCTCACTAAAGGCCAGGGAGTAGCCCCAAAAGTACCATTGGAAGACAATGACGGAGAAGCTCATCATGACAACCCACAACTGAGATAGGGCCGACTTTCTACGGGCGAGACCGGAGTAGAGGAAGGCGATGCCGGGAATCATGAGCAAGACCATGGCGGCCGAGACGAGGATGTAGGACTGGTCACCGGATTGGTACCATTGGTTCAGGTTCGTCGTGGCTAGGTATTGAAAGTTAGCATCGACGTGGTTGAGGCGGACGCCGTCGGGTGCCCAGGATATGCCTGATTTGACATACTGGAATCGCCACCAAAATCGGCATTGGTGCCATTGAACTCGGTAGGAGCCCCGGTATGACTGTAAGACATGATGGGCGGTTGTGATGGGTTGTATCGGGGGCCGTAGCGGGATGTTCACCAGGCGGTAATAGGACTATGGTGGATGGGAGGGGGGAAGAGAGAATTGTTATTTGAAGAGCAAGCTGTCCGTTGGGACGAGCTAGGATGAGAGTTCAACGGCCGAGGTGGGTCGGATGCAGCATGAGACGAATTGCCTGGGTGGGAGGAGCGAACGGGAGGTCGAAAACGAGGTGGGAGGGAAAGCAAGGACCATATATAAAAACACAGCAAACTGCCGACGGCCTGGCTTCTACCTAGACGGACGTGGTTGCAGCAAAGTGAACATGCGGAGCTGCGGTGATCCCTGACCGTGTCTTGGGGGGGGGGGGGGGGGGTGCGTAGAGCACCTGGGACAGCGGAGCTAGGTAGTATGGGCGGTCCGCATACGGAGAGGGCGTCGTGAGAGGAGGGAGTACTCCGTAATGTAAGGATGAATGGGCATTGGGCAATTGGAAAGGGGGGAAGGACACCTAATCATGGCGACTGACAGAGAGGAAAGTGTAAGTGAGTGGGCGATAAGAGAGACACACGACACAGACCACCTTCTGGGTAAAAAAGATAGACATGTGAGTGGACGGGCATGGGCCGGCGCGGGTGAGTGAGTAATAGAGTGGAGGTGGGAGTGAATCAGGTACCGGTATTCGTAGAGACGGACAGAAAGCGTTCTGTTCCAACCTGGATCATTGCCCCGTGGACCCGGCCAAAAAAACTTAATGCTCTTTCTCTCTAGTCTGTTGCAAGAGAAGAGCCCGCCAGACCAGATCCAACCGTTCGGGGTATCCTAACCAAGAGACGCCCCCCTGGTAGAAGGCGGTACGTACCGCCGCCAGCCCTTGCACCTGCCGCGCCTCAGCCGCCCCACGCTTCTTTTGGCCGGCCACCATGTCACTGTCATTGTCATTCGCATTAGTCCAGGAAAGATGTACGTACCCGCTGCTCCTTCCAGTCCCCATCCTCTTATCCTGCTGCGGCTTTGCACTAGGTACACGTGGACTCATCCAAGGTCAGCGAATCTCCTCTACTTCTTCTGTACATACATGCATGGTAAGTAGGTAGGTAGGTAGGTAGGTAGATTTCGCAGGTATTTCCCCATTGACGCTGAAGAGGCCACCGCAAACCCGAGGCGGTGGCACGTATCGTAGGTGACTACCTAGGTAACTAGTCACCTGTCCTGGTGTTAGCCATTGGTTGGTTGATTACCTAATCTCTTTAAAGCTCTGGCTCGTTCTCGTCTTGTACGAGACTGGCGGGACGAGCCTGCCGATCGACCGAGTTTCTCAGACTCTTCTTTCTTCTTCTTCGGCAAGTCAAGTCGTCCGTTCCCCATCGAGCCCGGCATCGCGCCGGCAAACATCTGCGTAGATGAGATGCGACACTGCCACTGTTCTGCTGCGGACCACGCAAAAGAACAAGAAACAAACATAAAAATGCAACCCGCCAAGCCGAACCTGCGAAACTATCAACACAGCTTCAGCTGCTGCATGAAGCAGCGTTTCTTCTTTTTTTTTCTTCTCCTCCATCTTCCATTCCTTCCCACACTCGGTTGCCTCCCTCGAGCCAGTCCGATGCTTGGCTCTCATCATCATTTGATTGATGATGGATCAAGAATAGAACAGCAAGACTGGCAAAGCGCGAGCTACACACACATCCGAGAGCCACAGATAAGAAAGCAGGTGGACGCAGCGAGCTGTCAGTGGTGGATAGTAATTGGGCTGAATCAACGAAATGCCTCGGACCCACTCGGAGCGCCGCTTGAATTGTGGCTGTTTACGAATAACTAGCCAAGCAATTCTATCGCGACATTCCAACTGCCTCCTCACCTTTCCCTCCCCCAGTCGCTCCAATACAGAAAGAGCCAAGCTTCAGACCAATTCCCAGCAGCTCCACGGCCCAGCAGTCCGGCAATTATTCGACCCGCCCTGCCTACCCTCCACCGATGCGTGATGCGGACGGGACAGGGCTCGCGACGTGGGACTCTAAGTGGAGTAATCCTCTTCAAGACCTTTCCCGCCGTGCACCCCCAAAACACCCCCAGCTGGCGATACGTAGCCATGTCTCGACCTTATCGTAAGGCTCATGTTTGCTTTTTTTTTCTTCTTTACTCTCAAGGAAGCCTACTAGCGATCTGCCGTACCAAATATCCGGTCACTGCACACGACCTCGTTGGCGGGATTTGCTTGCAGTCTTGGATGCGAAGCGCACACCGTACGCGATGCGGGCCCCGCAACCAATGGGCGAAATGAAGCTCACCCACTATCTTTGGAAGATGGCCGCCGATGTCCAGTATGTGCCTCACATGTCTTCAGGGTGCTGCGCGGCCAATGACCGGCGAGACCAGCTTTGCGTTCCTAACAAGACTATCTCGTCCATGCTGGCCCGTATCGATAGCCAGGCAGACTAACCTTGAAAGGACGTCACTTGTGGCACATGCTATCGCTGTGTCCAGCCTGGTGAGTGTTCCTCTCCTTCGCATTCTCGAGTGTCCAGGCAGATTCGGGCAGCAGAAGCAAAGTCAGGTCGGCCGTGACTCAGCCGCGACTCGCCGAGTCTGGGTTCTATCCTCGAGGTTACAGAACAAATCTCATCAAACGGTATTTTCCGACCAACTTCCGCGGACTGATCCCGCTTGTTGCGATTCCGGCACTCTTTGCTCCGTTTTCGGCACATGAAAAGGAACAAAATCAGCTGCCCAGACCCATCGTCTTTCCGGAGACGCTCCTTCGTTATGGGGGAGGGGGGAATGGAAATTCATTAGCGTTCAGCCCGACAATCGGTTGCTAACATGCTTTACTACACGAGAACCAGAAATCCGAGGACCATCCAATTTTGGAAGGGCAGAATACCATCATGGTCGATCACCGACCGGGGCGTTGCGAAAGCCCCAACCAACGGTTTGCGCTCGCTTGTATCTTGTCTCCATGCGGCCGCGTGTGGCACACAACCACCCCCCGCTGCGTCAAGGTCTAGCATGTCTAGAACAAGTGATTGAAGACTATTGACTCGGCGTGGGATGCTGTGTCTATCACGGTTTATCGCTATGCTTCCCAAGGAAACCGACGGTCTGCAGCCCGTACACACGATGAGGCTGACTATCGGCAAAACCAGATTAAGGAGTCGTATGCGATTCAAAGACTTGCCAATTGATGGCCACGATGCACTTGGCCATTATCGCCACCCCCCGCGCACTACCCATCAGCCAGGTGGGACCAACCGGGAGTTGTCCAAGATCAGCAATGAGGCGTGCCCCCTACTCAGGCTGTTGTCATCGCTATCAGAGGGTGTTTACTGCATCGGATAAGTATGCGGTCGCTCATATCCAGTGAACGCATTGTGCATTTGACTGATGATATCTGCAATGCTGCGTTTTGGTGACGTTTGTCTTGCCGGCCTGTCTGATAAGCTCACCCGCAAATCGCCTGCTAGATCGTGCTTTTCGACTCAAGGCATGAGCATGTCATCATAGCAATACTGAATACTGGGGAGGGCTCCGCTATCGCACCCTGCTCGTCCACACTGCACCCCAGCTTTTCTCTTAAGCGTGACTGCCGGCTCCGACATGAGACCAGGCCGTGCCCATTGGAACTTCATCACTCAACCTGTCAAAGAGCCAGCCATGGCCCAGTCCGGACAGCGTCTTCCCATGTGAAACCTCAAGTTGCGGGCATCGCGACACAGAAGTTGGGGGCAATCGATTATGACGTCCCTGCAGAGCATGAGAGGAATGATCTTTCGACTGGAGACACTGGCCGTCCCCTGCCTCTGTTTCCGGCTCTCCGAGGCCTGCGCTAAGCCTTAGCCTTATCAGTGAATTATATTGACCAATCATAATGCCGGTCACTTGGTCACAGCAAAACGTCATTATTCCCTTAGCAGGTGGCTCCACTTTGGAGGATACCGGTACTCCATATCGACCCACGGGCTCCTTCCCGGCTGGTTGTGGGTCCATCCAGCGGCGCCGCCGGCCGGACCGGCCGTGGGCCGTGTGTCCTTCCTTCTGGAACAATTCCGTCTGCATGTGTTTGGTTAGGGGTTGTCGGGAACATGCAACTGCCGTTTACCATGTTTGTTTACTTAGTACGGGATCATGATATACGTCGAGGCTCAGCTTTTTATTTATTTAAAGAAGGACATGTGGCCGCGGATAAGGCATTGCTGACCATGCTTCAACCCCAGAGTCCAGGTGTAAATAAGTCAGTGCCTGCCGCCTGGGAGAACGAGACGTTTCGAAGCACCAAAACAACTTCTGGCATCCTAGAAGTCGTCGACCGTCCCACGCGTCCGTGAAATATAACGTGACTTGCAGAGTACTTTAGCTCAGGGGCTGGGGCCGGGCACTCCAACACAGCGGGTTGGAGATATCTTCTTGCGTTCGTGCCATTTGGCATTCTCGGACCAAGGCCACACGGCAGCGCGGTCGCCGGTCGCCGGGCTCCAGGCTTCCGCTACCATCACTCCCAATTTCGATCCAGTGTAGGGACTTGGGAGGGCTGGCATCGAACACCGTCGTGCAGTTCCGCCGTTGCTCGGTTCAGAAGCCTCTTCTTCCCCCCCTTTCTGTAAAGGACTGCGGCGATAGGACGTTCCAGGTTCCGCGGGCAGCGGGCGAGAACCATTTTGGGGAGGTGGGCTCCGGGAGCGTTTGCGCGGCTGTTGCTCAAGCGAACTGTGGCAAAAAGGGGGTAATGGACACTCCAGGGTTTCTTAACTCCCGCGAAAAAAGGATGCCAGGCCCGTCGGAAATAAGTAAAGAATTTTGGCCACATAAGGAAAGCAGGGGCAGGCGATGACCGGCGTCGCGGCTGTGGCGGCGGGTCCGTTCTAACTCGGAGCCCGAAGATGTAAATGTGTTTAGGGGGAATGATGCGGAGACGCATGTTACCGTCAACTTGCATCTCCAAGAGAGAGAGAGAGAGAGAGAGAGAGAGAGAGAGAGAGAGAGAATTAAACGGAAAAACTTAATACTTCTGAGACGATTCGTCGCGGTGCCATCGCCAGCGTCATTCTGGGAGATGCCCCTTCGCCTTGCTGGTGTCGCCTGACCGCACCGCGGCCTTCAAGCTGTCCATTTCAGGGAGGCCTTGACCAGGCAAAGCCCGAAGAGTCCTTGCGAGGACAGAGACAGGCGGTCCAAACATCTAACATCCTCATCGAGTGGGATCAGGGCCAGGACGGCGACATCGTTGATAGCAACCCGACCTTTCCAGCCGACGTTGGGAGGGGGGGGGCTAGACATGCAGCCGGTTGTTTCTCCATTGATTTGATCAAGAATCACCAGAACAGACAGATGGACCAACCCAACTGCCAATAAGGCGACCTCCACGGGCAAAGGAAGAAGAAGAAAGCCCCCAAAAAGACAGAGTCGGTCGCGTAGTCTACCACCCAGTTCCGGATGTTCATGTTTCATTGCGTTTTCAAAGACACTAACTATCTTGATCGAACTATGCCTGCCTTCGTTGTGTGGAATGCACAATGTCTGAGTTCGCTCGTAAGGCCGGGGTATCGGGGCATTCCTCAGACTTCCTCAAAACACCACGACGCCGACGAAAGAAAAAGAAAAGAAAGAGAAACAAGAAAAATAGCTAACCCAATGTCTCTGTGACTTTCATGTGAGTATGAAAGCTGTGTCGGACCCCGTGACCTCCAAATCAACGTCGGTGACCATGACCACCTCTAACGACCTCCTACATCTACAGCATTCTGACTCGGGAGACTTCATGCCTGGATGTTTAGCCGGCCTTCACAAAGCTAGACACACGGCCTAGCAAGCCCAAGTGAGCCGTCCGTCCGCCCCTCAAAAAATGAGAATGTTCTCATTCTTCTCATCCCGACTGATCTCATAGCTTAAAATGCTGTGATCGCGGTAATGCAGCATGAGCCTATACCGCCTCGACGCCGGCGATGGGGCAGGCGCATCATCAGACCTCAGCAGACACCCCGCTGCGCCGCCCTCTTGGACCGGCCCCATAGCAATCCCGTAAAGCCCACGAGGTGGTCGGCGTCCGGCCCTCTCGTCGGACCGCGTCGGTAAGACCCAGTCGATCCGGAATCCTCGCTTCAGCCTGAACCCATCTCCCGGAATCTCGTATCGGGGCCGCGTAGGGGTAAGCAGGATCACGCGGCCAATGGCGGACCCGATCACCACCAGCGACAGCTCGGGCACATGGACAATCATGTTGAGGCGCTCGGCGTGCTGGAGCAGCGGGTGCGGCGGGTAGTTCCAGCTGATGGGGTCCTTGCAAAAGATGGCGGCGCCGTCGTCCGAGTCGATGCTACGCATCTCAATGTCCTCCTCGTAGGTCCGCAGGATGCAGCACCGGCTGCCAAGGTCTTGAAGGACTTTCCTGTCCTGTTCCTTGGTGTTTCGATTCTTCACCTCTGGCCGGCGTAAGTATTGGAGACGACCGATGGTTGAAGATGGCGAGACGTATGTCTTGCCGTCGTGGGGTGTGAACACCATGTCCAACCATGATGATTGATACCCACTCAGGTCGTGGCCTGTTGCGGCTTTGAGGATGCTGAGAGTCCCATCGGGGGGCAAAATCTGTGTCAGCCCCTCCCCGACCCCCATGTCCTCTTCTGTAGCGAATATCGCCTCTTCGATAAATGTGATTTCGTTCGCATCGTCATCTCCAAGCAACCCAGCGAAACTCACGTTGTCGTCATCTTCACTTTCGAAAGCCGACGACATATCATCCCATGCCGGGTTCAGAACCTCCTCTTCCTCTTCACTCCATCCATCCTCATCGTGGTCGGGGATGAACAAGACAGCGTTCTGTAACAGAGCAGCAGGAGGGGCAGCGTCAGGAGCGTTGGGAGGGACCGCCTCGGCGCCATCTAAGTTGTTCCCATCATTGTCGTCGGGCGGTGGAGGGGGGGCGGGCAGAGCTAGCAACGGCTGGCCGTTTAAAGTAGCGGCCAGGAAGGCGGGCTGCTGAGGCTGAAACCATGCAATCGGAGGATGTTGATTTCCAAATGCTTCGGGTTCTGGCACACGTTGGGCAACAGGCTCTCCAGGATGATCGCGAATGCGCGCGAGACCGCGCTGAGTCTCGATCCACCGTCCCGCATGCGAGTTCTTTGCGTTCATGATGTCTGATGCCTCCATGCCTAGGAGATTTGTTACCGAATCTGCAGGTAGGAAACTTTCATAGGGGAGAACAACGACTCCCCAACCCCTGGGGCTGACGTTAGCTAAATGTCCCGTGGGGGCCTGCTGACGAGACTTACATCGGGTTGCGGAAGGCCCATTGGCCCTGGATGTTTGCCCTGTGTGAGATCTTGAACGGCGCCGTTCCAACCTTCCAGATGTCCAGGACCCAGGTCGTTCCATAGATGTCATTCGCAACGACCTTCTCGGCAAATCCCTCGTGGTCATCCCACAGAGATATGTTGGGGATGTTGTGGCCCCCGTCACCCAGGGGTATGCAAATCCTCCAATTTCGTTTCCTCTTAAGGACCGATCTCTCGCAGTAGTCCAGTGGCCGATCCCGACCCTCCATGGCCTCCGGCAGGCGCGAAAGTCCGAAAGCGAAGACCGTCACCTCCTTCCGGTTGGAGCTGACGGCGATAAGCCGTGACTTTTGATGAATGGCGATACCCCATGCCGAAACTCCCACATTCTCACGGAAGAATGGTTTCGGGATGAGGTTCGTGCTTCGGCAGCCGGAAGATGCGCGCTCAATATACTCGGCGACGTGCCTGGTGTAGTACGCAAAAACCGACCCGTCATCGTAGACCGAAACAAGCACCTCCTCCCTGCCTAAAAAGCCCACCGCAATGTGGTTTGCCTGATGGTGGAAACGTCTGTCGAGCGTGCCGCCAATGTGTCGCGCAATCTTGTCGGGCTTCGTCGCCAGTATGAGGTTCGGTTCGCGCGGGAGTGCCTGCTTCGGGATGCTTTTGGGACGGTAGATGAAGATTCGGTTTTCGTAAGCAGCGAAGTAAAGCTGGGAAGAGCATCGTTAGCCAAGCGTCTTCCAGGGCCATTCTGTGCTGTGCTACCAACATTGTATCTTTGTGACAAGGCGGTAAGGTTGTTCCTGAAGTAGGGCGTCTTTGGTATCTTCCTCTCCAGACTAGGCGCTTGCGAGCCACTATCTACAGCCTCCTCCTCTTCCTCCACCCCGGTGACGATCTGTCCAGCCGGGACTCCCTGCACAAGCGTTTCGGTCTCAGACTGGGTTATATGGTCGCGCTCGCGTTGCCGTATGACTTCGGTAGCTCCATCGCCAAACTGCAATCCAGCGTCAGCCCCAAAATCCAGGCCCAACAGACCACAAGACAAGCGGAGCAAAGCTCTCTAGGTAGAGACAGTTGAGACAGATGAGAATCAAAAGAATGAAATCCGGCATCACACATACCCGGTCCACGCAGGTTTGCACCTCGCACCTGCCCAGAACAGCCTCGCGAAAGCCGCGATCGTGAAGCTGATCCTGTTGATCCGCCATCTACGGCGCCTTGGAGTCTTTCTCTCCCTTGTGCTTTGCGCGCGACATACGAGCCGCCCGTAGATGTTGGTTTTCTTCCTTTCGGCTTTGTGCTGCACTCTTCTCCTGCGATAGAGCTGTGTCGGAAAATAGGCCACAAAAGAAAAGAAGAGATGGTTATGAACCTTTTTGTGTGTAGGTGATGGAAGAAGGCAGGTGGAATGGTTTCTCCCGTAGCTCTGCTAAGCTCATTCGTCTTCCTCCCGTTTGTCGTCAAATGCTACTACCCCTAAGCCCAGGCGCGGCACCCACTGAGGGGATGGCGACCCACTTTAATATGACCTTATCGATAAGCTATCGGCATTTGCTTCTATCGATACAAGTCCGGGAGTGATCAGACAAGCTGATAGTGTCCCCCCCCTGTCAACCCGAGAGTACCGTGCGTTCTGGCCTGTGCAGAGTCCAGCAGACAGTGGATTCAAGTGATAACACAACTATCTTAGAGGCAAAAGGGATAGTCTTAGCCTATCCCGACCTGGAGCACAACGTAGGAAGCAGGGTGGGTTAGTACTATTCTAACCCTCCCCGGCGGAGCTGTTTTAGAACTAAAAAACATAAGAAAACTGGATTTGAACCTGCAGCCTTGAGGATATGAGGTTTATCACAGTTATTGTGCACGGTACTCTCGGGTTGACAGGGGGGGGGCATTGTCAGCTTGTGTGTATCCGTATACTCTATATTTTTCACTTGTAGCCTTATTACGGATACTTATCACCCGAGTCCACTGTCTGCTTGACTCTGCACGGGCCAGAACGCACGGTACTCTCGGGTCAATAGGGGGGGTGGGAGGGGGGGACATCAGCTTGTCTGATCACTCCTCAACGCATCCATGTACTTATCAGGAGAAGAGGGGTCGACTGTTTCAGCAAAACCCGCTTGTGGGGCAGTCGAGGCGGACGAGGAAACATTCCAGTCGATGAGAAGGGGGGTAGGCCACGATGTGTTCGGGGACCTTACTAAAGCGCATGGACGAGTTTGATATTGATCCTGTGCTGTCCATCTCTACACGATGCATCTTGCTTCGTCCCAGCCATGAGTGCTTGAGTTTAAGTTCATCGTCTTGGGTCTGTGATCGCAAAGAAAAGAAAAAAAAAAAGGGTTGCTCTGACGTAGGCCACAACTCGTCCGGTAAACACAGGGCCACGAAGTCAATTGCTTGTATCAAAGCTCATAATGATAACCTCTCGTCAATTTTTTGGCATAATCGTCAGTGACCGTCTAGCTCGTGCCTGACCAAAGCCGGGTATCCGAAGCTGGCACGCAAAGCGCAATGCCTGTTGAGGAGAACCGAAACACACTAACGCCGTTTGGACGCCCTCTCTTCCATGTCAAATACACACACTTGCCAAAAGCTCCTCGGCTCGTGACTCGGACAAACATATACCGCTGCCTCGAACGTCGTCCAGCAGAACTGCGGAGCACACTAAGCCCTCATGATCTCGACCATGTCCCTCATCCGGTAGTCCAGTACAGGCGTTACCCAGTCGTCCTCAACCAGGGAATACGTCTCCTTGACGTTGTCCTTTGGTTTGCGCGGGTTGACGGCCCAGTAGCCAAAGTCGGCGTCAATGACCTTGAGGTACCGCAGCAGGTTGTTCCAGTAGTTCGCGTCGCCCATGCTAGGCTGGTGGGGCGCACCGAACTCGCCCACCCACACGGGCGCCTGATCGCCCTCGACCAGGTAGGCCCAGTTGTGCCTCATGGAGTTGACAAATGACGCGTAGCCGCGCTTTGAGTAGCGCCCTTCAAGGCTTCCCCAGCCGGACCAGGCGTAGACGTGCGCCGAGTACACGACACGGTCCGGGACGGTGAGGACGACGGGCCGCTTGGCGACCCCGGTGAGGTCGTTGCCGGATTCCGTGCCGCCGACGATGATCAGCCAGTCCTTGTTCATCTCCAGGAGCCGATTGCCGGCTTTCTCGGCCGCCGTGGCCCACTTGTCCCAAGTCATCGAGCCCCAGACGCCGCGCACCTCGTTGCGCAGGTCGGCGCCAATGACACGGGGGTTGTCGACGAAGCGGAGCATGATGGTCTCCCAGTGCTGGATCCAGTCCTCCTCGGTCTGCTTGATGCGGCACAGCGGGCCGAGGTGGTCGTTGGCCCAGTGGGCATCGCACGGGTCGGCGCCGCAGCACCACGTCGAGTGGGTGATGTGGTTGTTGACGATGACAGCGATGCCCGCATCGGTCAATGCTGTCACGCAGGCCTCGAAGATATCTAGGGCTTTCAACCCGATTAGGTCCGGGTTCGCGGTGAGCAGCTCAGCGGGGATAGGCGGGTCGGTTATGACCATCTCGTCGCTGTAGGGCAGGCGCACGCTGTTGAAGCCCAGGCCGCGGATGGTCTGCGCGATCACGTCGCGGTGCTGGATATCGAGGCCGCTGGGGATGTTCAACTCGTCGCTGGCGCCGTACCAATTGACGGACAAGAGCTTGAAGCGACGGCCTTTCTCGTCGACGATGTCGCGGCCCTTTGTGTGCAGCGGCAGCGTGTAGGTGTCGATGCTGGTCTCCTTGAGCGGAGGCAGGAGAGGCCGCTGTTCGAACAGCCTGGCATCCGGGTCGGGCACCCACGCTACGCTGAGGGCGGCTTCAGCTCTCCAGAGGTAGTGGACGTAGCCGCCCAGGAAGACGAGGGCCAGAATAAGGAACATTCTGAAGTGTGAGAGGTTAACAAAGCCGGCGTGGCAGGTTCGCCTTCTAACTAAACTCGAGTGTGTTGTTTGTGGTTGTGAAGGTGATCTCTTGCGGAAGAGGAGGCCGGTGGAGGTTCCATGATCGGTTGTCGCAGATTCGTCTATGCTCGGGACGTAGACACCGCCTCTGGCTGGTCGAGTGCTCGGTTGCTCGATGTCATCAATCCGTGCTCCAAACTGGGGACGTCCTGAGCTCCAGCGCCAGACACTGGCCGGCGAACCGGGGTAGAGCTTGTGGAAGATACCGGGTAGCGGCATTACTGAAACTCCGGCTCTGGGGGCCCTTCCCTCTCTTCTGATTAGTATATTTCTCCCTGCCCTGCCCTGTCGTCGTCCCCGATACGTACCTCAGTCGTCCAGTCTTGTTTGAATGCTCTCAGGGCCGTTGCTCCCGTCCACCTTACTATTATCGGCCGAGTCTAATGTCAGCCTCACCCACGGGCTCTCGGACGACCAAGATTGAGGAACTAGCGTTTTCTCGTTTCGTTGTTGCGCCCTTGTATCAAGTAAGGTCTTAAAGATGGGTGGACCAGCTTGGAGACTCGTGAATGGAGTGTTAAAGACGGGCGTCAGCCATCAACTTCCTCTCATTCGGAAGCGCCATCTACTTATAGTCCAGGCATACGGAGGGTAGGCAGCGATGGGTCGAGTGGTCCCGTCTATCGCTGGATTAAGCAAAATGCACTCCCGCTTATATCACATAGGCCAACCAAAATCCTCGCCTCCGAAGAAGCCGGAGCGGAAGCCACGGAATTCATGACATGGCGCTTGCTCAATGGACGCTGCCCCATCCCATTGCTGATGTGTGCTGGTCTCATCCCGCTCCTCGCGACATTCCGCATGTTCCGGACAAGCTAATCCCACCGTGGACTCACCAATCCTTGCTCGGCAGTTCTTCGTTGCTTCCACCTATTAGGCAGGTCGTCACGCAATCCGGTATTTGATACGGCCATCGTGCATTTGATGTGTCGCGTGACTGCATTCTTCGGGCTCTCGACTGCTTCTACATATCCATCCATCGTGATTCGCTCCGCTCTTCCCGTCCCTCTCCCGCCCGGGTGCGCCGGGGCCTACTCAATTCGTAGGCCCCCTGCCACCGACTTTCCATCCCTGGTCTTAACACTCGTCATCTGTGGGGGGGTAGGCAACCATTCTGATTCCTTCGCTGCTTAATAAAGTCCGGAACGCCGACGCTGATATTACATTGGTTCCCCCACCCGCTGACAATATAGGCACGCTGATAGTTCCTCCACATTATAACTTTTCTTATGGACACACTAGTTCGCATTCGACCACCATCACGCGCTGTCTGATTGATTCGGCCGAACATGCGCTTGCACTTGCGTAGTCAGGGAGACGGGAAGTACGCTTTGAAGCCGAAGCCTGAATTACACGTTTCCTCTGCCCCCCCATCTTGTTTCTTTTGTTCTTTCTTTGACCTTTGTTCAGTTTTTACTTTTCTTTTTTTTAATCTTCGTTCCATCATTGACGAACATGTCGTCTGATTTATATCCTGTTCATCCCGAGTGGGTTCATGTCCTCAAACCCGTCCCCTCGGGCTTGTGATTCGGACCGGGCGTAGGTCGCTTGAGCGTCCCAGGCTGGCGGTGTTTGCGGCGGTCGAGGGCTTGAGAAAGACCGCATCGGCGGCTGGTAGCGAGCCGTTGGCCCAAAGTAATCGGGGGTTCTTCGTCCGCTATTGGGACTCGCGATCGGTGATTTGACTGGGGTGATTGGTGTTATAACAGCGTTCGAGTCTTTCGATAGCATCTCGTACGCACGGGTATCTTTTTTCACATCGTATCGGGCATCCACCGATACGAACTCCTTCTTGCTTCTGCCGCAGGAAGAGAATAGGTCTACCCAACCGAGGACCATGGCCCAGCGGCCCAGTAGGAAGAGTAGCCAGATGCCGTTCATCTTGACAAGTCAGCGGGCCATTTACGTATGGAAAGTAGGGCACGGGACGTTTCTTACCGAAAGGAGGACCAAGACAGCCGTAATGGTTGCCTCGTTGACAACCAGCGACTTGGCCTTGTCGTAGCACTGAGTTCGATTGCCCTTCGCGCCGATGAGGCACAGGACCCAATCCTGGGCAAGACTCTGGTCGGTATGCACTGCCTGGACAGTGGTGTCTTGGAAGACAAACACAAGCGAGAAGAAGATGACGTCGGTAACAATGATAAGAACAATAGCGATACCTCTCCATTGGAGCTGGATGACGCGCTGTACTCGCCGATACGCTTGGCGGGGGCTCAAAGTCTTCATGCTGCCGGCGTAAGTGGGGAGGCTTGATCCTTCAGTCGATGCGCTGTTGTCGGCAAGAGATGCCAGGTAAACTTTGATGCAGTATCCAAAGGTGGCGAACTGGATGATGACTGTGAGTCCAGCGAAGACCAGAAGAGGAATCCAAAAATCCGCAAGGCTGTTTTTGTGGTTGATGTGGCAGGTTGCACCGAAGCGAAACGACACGCCGCTGAAGACGAGAGCAACGACAATGCCAATCATGGGAATGCCCCAACCCGTGGCTTGTGCAAAGATCATGAAGGTTCGGCCCACGACGACTTGCCAACAGATCTGCAGATGCAGAGACAATGATCGCAGGAAGACCCACATGACACCAGCCCAGCCCCCAAGCAGGAGGAGGGCGCCAGAGGCACCGCAGACCTTGCTGGACTTCATGCTGTGGGGCGTGATTTCATTGTAACATTGTTCCGGCTGATCGGCAAGCGGAACAATAAAGCCAAGCTGACAAGGTCAGTTGCAAGTAGTAGGGCGCTGAGTCCGACCGACTTACGTTCATAATAAGCACTGCCATTGTCAAGCAGATGCTCAAGTAATGTCTGTAGGTTTTATCCACGGGCAAGAAAGCCCATGATGACAAAAGGAAGAGACAGCTTGCTGCGCTGGCGACGCAAACCCAGTTGACGGCCGTTGTCATGGTTTTGAAGTCTTGGGGGTAGACCCAATCAGTGAGAGGGCATGGCAAGCAACATCGCACAGTCTCTGAGAGATTTTGGCATAGCCGGCCGTCGATAACTGCGTACCGTCAACAACTCCGCCCATAACTATGGCATGGTTGGAGACTTACACCCTTCATCGCTGGGAAACAGGCTCACGTCATAGAACGGGGCAAAACATCTTCCCCTGAGAGTTTCGTTGGCCATGGTCGAAGATACTTTTCAAACACACACTGATGTTGATGTCGGTCACGTCCAAGGCACCCCGGGCACACTGAAGTAGTATCAGGTGACTGAGGGTGGATGATTGATAGTTCGGCCTTCCTGTACGCGGACCGTCTATTGACTTGAGTATGGCCGGAATGTGGTTGCAGTGCTTTGCTGTAGCGGAGCGTCGTGGCGAAAGGATTTGAGAGAATAAAGGGCCCTTTGGTGAGGGTGCTCAGGTTCGAAAGGGGGGGGGGGGGGGGGGGGGAGGAGATGCTTTCCGGTCTCTGATGAAGAGAAGATCTCAGTCCTGCTGAAGTACAAGAATCGTGGCTACTCGGATCCGGAAAAGATTTGACTATGCTCGGCTGTCTCGAGCAGGATGCCGGCGTGTTAGTAGGCTGGTGAGTCGGCGAGGCGTGTGTGCGATGCTGCAGAGCAGGGAGACGGCTTCTGGCTATGTTGATAGCGTCATGATCCGTGGATGGAGCTGATAGGGCGGGTCGCAGTACCGCAACAACAGCAACTCGTGGTATCAAGGAGAGACTCGAGTAAGAACAGCAACAAAGAAGGCCGGAATCGATCAAGAGGAGGCGGAGGCTGGAAGGAGGTGGGTGGGACGCCATTATGTACAACGATGCGTGGGCTGGGTGGTACGTCGGCCAAAGGCCGCTGCATACCTGGGTGCGGTTGTTTTCTCCGTCTCTCTGCTGGTCCTCCCAGGTAGCGTGCAGTCTTGCGGTTTAACCAGTCACGGCGCCAGCCCCGGGGGGTCCAGGCCATAGATGCTGGTACGACGACACTCGACGGGCCAGGCAGGAATCGGGAACATGTACTGGCGCACGGTGATGGGTCGGCCTGCTCTGGGATTAACATGGGCTGTTGGGGATGGACAGGGGCCAATTGGGGATGCGATACGGATACAATGCGGTTGACGATGAAGGGTGTCTCTGTAGGAAAGTCCCAATGCCCTTCTCCGGGTCGCGACCCTAGGATGGAGCTCTCGCAGTGCATTGCGTGAGGCGATGCATCGAGTTCCGCGGGTCCTATTGGGGAGGCGACAGACTTCATTGCAGGGATGCAAAAGTTAGTGAAAATTGAGGGATCCATGGATGGCAAAGAGGCACAGATTGACGGAAGGATGTGTTGGGTTCCACGGACGAAGTTCTGCACTCTGGGAGGACGGAGGAGTAAGCAACAGGTAAGTATCTACCTAGTGGCGGTATGGAGCATGTGGACATGGACCAGGGGCCGGGAAGAAGAAACGGCAAGAGAGGGACATGCCAGAAAAGGAACATGGAGGGGCGTGCAAGTGTGTTGGAAGGCGGGGCGGCATGGTAGGAAGAACCCACATTGATGGTCCTCGATTTACCCGACACTGCTTGTTGTGTGGTCAAGGACTCCACATGCAGTCGGGAATCCTTGAAAAGGTAGGTGGCCTCTCGCATAGCCCACGAGCATGGAAAGACACTCGCCCAGTAAGGGCCGCAGGTCGGCCTCAGCGAGGGTTGCTTGCTGGGTAGGTAGGTAATAAGGTCACTAAACTATCTACAGTAGGTAGTTTATCTACCTGCCTATGTATTTACGAATAGGTATTTAGTGGACCTATGCATGGTCTATGCCCAACCCAACCCAGCACCTGTGCAATACGCTCGTACATAACACTGCTGTTAGGAATTGTCTACTCGTGCGTCCGGAAATCATTGCCGGTCACTTCTCTGATGGAACGTCATGATGACTAGGCTAGGCTGGCTGGCTGGATGGCTGGCTGGCTGGCTGGCAATGTGCTTCTACAGTCCCTCATTCATCGATGCACTTCATCACACGAGGGGCACAGCGCAGGCTGCCCCTGACTGCCTGCCTGCACTCGCCCACCCAGTCTGTGCTTACCATCGTCCTACCGCGTTGCCATAACCAATTCGTAATCTCCAAAGGATCCAGTACCTGGCCTTCGCTGTAGTTACCCGGGATAAACCAGAACAGGACAAAGCCCGTCTGGATTGAGAAAGAACCGCACCAATTCGGACACTTAGCCTTGGCCCGGGAGTCTGGTCGAAGCCATTGGGATACCTTACGTAGGTAGGCCGATCATCGATGGCCGTGACCAGACGAGGGGCACCTTCCCAACGTCAGGATACGTACCTTCCGCCATTGACGGTGAGCCTCTTGCCGCCGTGCTGTCCCCTCTCTCGTTCTCTCTCGTTCTCTCTCTTTCCTTATCCCTCCGGCAGCACTACTCTCCTAAGACCAGCATTCAACAGATGCCTCGTCAAAGACTCTCCAAACTGAGCGCATTACGCTTGGTTTTCGAAGGCTTTCCCGCTGACCCAATCAAGTGACAGCTCCCCTGAGGCTTGACGAGGAAGAGCCTGGCATCAATGCCGTCCTGCGCATCTGATGCATGCACCACCGACCGCCGGTTGGCAAAGATTTCTTACCTCCTCCCGCCATCCGTCATCGCCCGCCCCCTCGGCACAGCACCCCGGGTGAGACATTGTTAGCAAAATGTCTCTTATCGACGTCTTCATGGTTACACTGCATCCGCAGGTCTCACCCTAGCCGCGAACATCACGATGCCGGAGGGGGGTGTAGCCCGTTGATGGCCGTGGTTCGGCTGCAGTTTCTTCCGGCTACTTTGAAAAGCGGCCGAGCCGGCGGCAACCCTTCTCGGCACACGATCGCTGTGGCACCGCCATGGCGTACAATGACTCGCCACAGCTACCTACTCTGGCGGTTACCTAAACCTAGTGCTTGGTGCCCGGACCAATGTTTAAGGCGGATGAGCCGTTGCCAAACCCGCGTGGCTGGACTGAGGCTAAAGGCATTTCAGCCTTCTGGTGACGCTGGGAAGGTGCAGAGGGCGTGCGAGCGTTTCGGGGCGCACAGGCGGGGTACTAAGAACAGCCGTCGCAATTGGCTCCTCGCCTCGTGGCCTACTGCGCCGCTGAGTTCATCAAGCCCTCTGTCGGAGTCTGCGCCGCGACCAAAACAACGCGCAACAACAGGTTTGGCTCTTTGCCGTGGTCTGCCACGGTGTCTGAACGTTTCGCTTAACACTGTTTGCGTAGTCGACGCCTCTGGATAATGTTGACATGACCACACCTATTTCGAGATGCCGACACGGCACCTGACCCTGGATCGACACTGCTGTGACACATCGAGACCAAGAAGCCGACCGGCCTTAGGGCTGAAATGGCTCCGGTCGTTTTGTTGTTTGCGCAGCTTTGTATGAAGTAAGAAGGCAAACTAGAAATTTCCCGTTGGTTTGTGGATTTCCAACCTTGCGACTATTGGGGAGATGCACGCAAAAGCAACAAGGGAAGTAAGCCTATGACTCTCCGACGTCGCAGACCGGTGACGCCGTTGAGGCTAACGTCGACTTGCCAGTTTCGGTATTGACTTATTATGTGGCGTCCGGAACGGCGCCCTGTGGATCAACGGCAAAGCTAACGCCGTTTCGCTCACATTTCAACCACTGAAGCCCGAGAGTCTTTGATCAGGTGAGAGCCAAGATATTCCCCTGCCAGCAGCACCGGCGCTGGCGATGCTTTGTGGACACCAAGCCCATGAACACCACCAACCAACCAAAAAGCGTGGTTTCGCCGGTTCATCTTGCCAGCCGCTTTTAATCCCAATTTGCCCAGGCCGTGGGCCATTGAAAGCCGGATGGATTGGCGTCAAGGACCCTGCCGACAGAGAACATAACCCCGGGGCGCTACCTTGGTCGGCCGCCATTTCGGATTCTAGAGAGGCACTCTGGCCGGTTGATCGTCTTGCGGATCACACTCGCCGATTGTACTTGATCTTGTCATTCCTTTTCAGCCAACGAGAATACCGGTATCAAAGTCATCACATCATCCCTTTAGAAACAGACACGGTCACCATGGCGCGATGGCCTTTAGTGACAGGGTGACGGTGCCACACGTTAGTGCAGAGGCCTCTGAGTGGTTGCGTGACGCATTGTCATCGAACCTCTCAGCGCTCACAAAACGATCGCAGCGACGTGAATGGTCCGTTGGCTTCGTTCGGTAGCCCATACAAAGCCCCTTGCTCTGTAGATCGAGTGGCAGCCACCCAGGCCACTGGAGGAACACCGCATGGGAATAAAATTAGGGTCGTGCTTCTCGTCGCTTGCCTCGGCCAACCAGCGTGTTGAGAAAGGGGCGCGCTGTCAGTGACGCGAAGAGCGTTTGTATTCCATGGCTGGGTTGTGTTGACTCAGGTTGATTGGCTGGCCTGGCAGACAAAAGTCCATTCGATCGATGTGTTTGTCCAGAACGCAGAATTTTCAACCCACATCTCGCCGCCCTCGAAACCTGTGCCCCATCGCTGCAGGTCCTGAACCATCCTATGAGGCACATATACGACTGTGCCTGGCATAGGGACACTGCGCAATGCGGCAGGAAAGACTTCCCGCACCTCCGCGGCCCCTAGCGACCACCCAAGCTGCAAGACCCTTGCTCATGCGCCGACGTGCCATGTCGCTCAATTCATAGATAGCCAGGAGGCGACTAGGTATCCAACCACGACACCCACCCACACCTCTCACCCCCTCGCAGACCACCCCGCAATACAGAGTACACCATTGTTCCTGTCTCGACCATAATAGCACCCTGCGTCGGTCACAACAAGTGTGTTATTCTCTAGTGCACTTTCGAGGATTGCTTGGCAGACGGAGCATGGTTTACTAAGCACACTTATACGAACTGTCAAAGAGGGCAATCCACCCGGCGGGAGACGTTGTGGAAGAGCCTATTCAGGAATGTCGCCTACTACACACTATACACTGAACTTGTTACATGCCTTGCAGAGGATGGGGTCAGGCACTTGCCGCCATCGGCAGTCTTACTGATTCAACCGAAGAAATCCCGTTCGGCCTCCATCTGGCATGGAGCCGATGTAGGTTTTTTTGCGTGTCACGCATCAGTCTGACGAGTTTCGTGTGATATATGCTCACATGTTCTACTTTGGCCGAGATGCACTCGTTTCGAAGCGGTCGTTGGTCCGTCGGCATATTCCACGGGCGAATGCATGGAGTACTGACGCAATCGTCATCTGTCATCCCATCACGAAGTGCACTTCATGTTAGACCTTTGCTCTACCCTTGTTCCTGGGTCGACATGGTGCCAGGTTCGAAACGGTAATCCTTTCCAAATTCCGCATGATCGGGGCACAGAACGAACAAACTGAAGAACAGTGACCGTTTGATCAGCCTCAGAGCTAGGAGATATCTGAAGTGCTATGCACTGGCATCGCTGACCCCATGCCCAGCCTGGGATTCGTCACATTTCGCCTAGAATTGCAGTTTGGCTGTGATACTCTCAAAAATCCCCAACTCCTAAGGGGCCAAAACAGTACCTGTTATCGATCCCGGAGTTGCATCTGCAAGACGAGCTAGGTAGCAACGAAGAGACAAATAGGCATCAGAGCCAACCATACGAAACGACACCAGTATCTTGGCCGGAATGTCGCCCGAAGCGAACGCCAACGGCGCAAAACCAAACTTCGGCGCCGGAATTGCAGGGTCGTACAGCCGTCGGAAACCCTTCTGGAAATATCGGAACGGGCGCACGGATGTCGCTCAAGCGTGTGGTATCGGCTTGTGTTTATTGCCAAACCGACGACTGCTCTCGGCATGTTTCGCAGGTGCCTCTCTCTCAGTGAGATTCGTCGTCTCGAATCTGAAGACTGGACTATTGAGTTCGTCAGCTTGAGCTTTAGGACGCTCAAGCAACTGCCTTTGCCAACATTACAGTTTCTTAGACAGGATTCACCTTGGCCAGTTTTCGTTCACTCGCACACCAGCTAGCGCTCTTTGGCATCGGGTAGTTTGAATGGGAAAACGCATTCCTGCATCGCGAACAGAATTTACACCGACGTGCTCCACTCCAACCTGGCAGAGAGGTTTCGAATCATAAGCGATCATGTCGGGCGACGAGAGCCGGCTGGGGAAGAGGGGCGGCAGCCAGGTCGCGCGGGCGGAGAGGGATGGATGATTAACTCTTCTTGTCCCTTTCTCCTGCGTTTCGAGCCAGGGGGATTGCTGCCTCCGACCTGTGAAGTGAATTTGAACCAGGTGCTCAGGTCACTTTATGAAATGACGAGGCTTGTTTACACTAATATCAGAAAACATATCACAAAATGCATATGAGTGCGTGCACTGTCAATAGCTCAAACGTAAAAGAGGGTCTGGTCGTTGGCCGACTACTACATAGGCAGCTGAGAGCCCGATATTCGACCAGGGGCAATGGCCTCTTGGGGGAAAGTTGAGGACCCGGTGCCACTCGGGGGGGGCAGGTCCGCAACGGTATCGTTGAGATCCGAGGCCGTATCATGACTACAGGTGCTCCGCCGTTCGCAGGGTTCGATGTCACGGATCCGGTGAGGCTGACTATCCTTGCGAAAGGGTGAAGGGATTGGGAGCGGTCAGTATTGAATTGTTGCCAGTGCAGAAGCAGCCTGGCTCTCTATTCCAATTGACATGCATGAGTATTAGTGTCAGAGGAGACAATGGTGCATGCTGTGACGTCGATGGCCGATAATACGGCCTGCCTTGTACGGCCAGACTATTTCCAACACCTGACTGTGGATACTCGATAACAGACAGTGAGATGCGAACTCTGGCTCCACTGCGCGCCTCCTGGTCTGGGCTACCTACAGCATGGTCGGCTAAGCTCGAAGGGGACCTTCGGTAAGCAAGCCAGGACTGCCTGAACGAGGCTTGGGAAGTATAGTATTGCCGTCGGGGGAAGCTCAACAAGGAAGCTCCAGGAATGTTTCCATGACACCAATTGGCAAGGCATCTCGTCGATCGGATGTTCGCCCGTGAGCGACAAGATGGCTGCAAGCATGTATGTAGGTACGTATGTATTCCTGGGCATTGATACCCTGGCTGACTGCGCTACTGGGGGCAAGGAAGGGCTGACTTTGCCATCACTCATCGCCAGCGACGGTGTGTATAGCCGCGTGGTCTGTTGCGTCTCGCCAAGATGCACCAGGGGTTTACCGGTATCCCGCCCTTGCAGCTTCTCTTACTTTTGGGATACCGTACCGCGGCGAAGGGGGATGCAAAACACGGAAAGAAAGCGTGCTGACAGGCTGTTGAGCGAGGCACATCTCCCACAATTAGAACAGATATGGGTGGGAGAGCACTAAGGACGCCGACTGAGCGGGGATCTGGCACTGGGCGACCAGCAGTTTTCGGGAGGTTGCCTACACCTACATACGGATGTGACAGTAGACTAACCCCATCGGGCCAGCTTCCCGAGATGGCACACACACACACACACACACACACACACACACCACCACCACCACCACCAGAGCGACACCAAAGACAACATTACCCGCGTATCCCTACAGAGTACCAACAACAAAACGCCAACGTGACGCTCAACGGCCGCTACTAACGCGTTGCTTTTCGAGATTCCAGGTCATACCTTGAAGAAATCCATCAGCGGCTGTCTCTCAGCCGTCCGTCTGGTGTCAACACCCATTCCAACGGTATCCGATCAACTAACACCTTTGCCGCACCCCCCTTCACTCAACCTCCTCGCACTTTGCACCCGAAGTCGCGTGCATTCCTTCAGCAGCTCGACGACACATTTCGACGTCCACGCTTGTGCCTGTCAGCATTGCTCGTCACGGTACGGAGTATAGAACTCCATATGCCCGCTCAGTATCCGCATTACTGGCTCGGCCCCCCACACCAGAGCAAGTCATGGCGCCTTTGTGTGCTTCGATCTCGAGCCCTCTCTCCGAACGGGCCGCGTGCCAAACAAGGGGCCGCCCTCCGCTACCCGGTCCGAGTACCACCCACATGGCTTCCCTGCGAGCACACATCTGCGATGCGTTGCATTGCAACCTTTCAGTAGGGAACCAACCGTCGGGCGTTGTTGTTGTTGTCTCGTCGACCGCAAGGAGACGTTGTGGAAGAAACCCAGTACTACTATCGTGACACAGAACTGCAGCAGAAATATGCATCGGACCGACTGCAAAACTTAAACGGTAGCTGTCCTAGCCGGCGATGACAGGTCAGAGGTGATAAAATAAAGGACAACAACAACAGGCGAACTCTCATTGGGCCGCAAGATTAGTGCAGACGCCGACGTAAAATGCGCTCCAAGTTGAGTAAACCTTATCAATCATGATGAAATCAAGTGCAGAGGCAACTGACGAGTGCCCCTTTATTTTTCCAGGCCATGTTCCTTATCCCGCAACGCTAGGGCACCCTGGTCGAACTTTGTGAAGGACTTGGGGGTTAGTCCATAGTACCGACACACTGACCAAGGGGCCACGTCCGTCTTCTCCACCAACTCCACCAGTCACCTCTCAAGATTCTCGACATCAGAAGGCTTGCCGGCTCACTCGCCTGGTTTATCCTCTACCTTCCAAGAAGACACAAATGAGGAGTACGTGTACGGATACCATGTAACAAGGTATGCCAGACTGGACCCTGCTCTGTGTGTTAGAGCTTACTGAGGAGACCAACAACAACTGCAGATGCCCTTTACCTCTCCACCCCCCCCCCCCCCCCCGCAAAACGACTTGCGGTTAGTTGACGCGTCTTTAGACGTGACGCTCTCATGGGTTCCGAACCCGATGGCGAAAGCAATGTGGAGACCACTGTCCAACCGATATGGTCAGATGCTATCCTCGTATTCCCTGCACTGGTACCGAGCCGACGACTTTGCACCCTCGATCATATAAGTCCCCCTAAGGACGAGGTCGTATGTCTCGACCAAGATACAACCACCTGTTCAAAACCACATTTGATACTCTTGCCAGGGATTCCGCGAAATGATGGGTCGTCTCGTAACTTTCAGACCAAGTCCCCGGGTCAGGCACAGGAATCCTACACCTATTGTAGACCCGACCCGAGCATCATCGCACCTCTACGGATACAAGCTGCGCAACAGAAGTTGGTCTCGACGCAGCAGGCTGGTCTGACATTCCTTCCATCGTACATGACATGCCCCCACCCACCCACGCGGAGATGCAAATTTGGTCACATCCTTGGACCTCCCGGCATGATGCTGCATGCCTCAATGCAGGCACAAATCCTCTCGAGTGTTTATGAGGGCTGTCCAACTTGATCGTGGTTGGTCGGCGAATGCTGAGGGGTGAGCGAGGCAGATCTTGGCACCGCAGGCACACGCCATCCGTTCCGTACCGAGATAATGCACACTGTCCCGCGTGTATGTCGCACCACGCCTTCCCCCTCGCCAGGCCGGGGGGCTCTCTTGGATGAACTAGTTTCCTATGGGTCTCCGCATGCTGTCATGCTTCAAAAGTCTTGCCCCGAACTCGCGTCAAGAGTGGAATCACTCACAAGGAACCAGACGTGTCCCCGACTTCCAGCCCGATCCGGCCCCGTTTCTTCCTCAACATGACCCGCAGCTAAGGCAACGTCTAGGCCTCAAGAGGGCGAGAGGGCCAGGCAGACGTCGGTCCGGTCAACTGCTCAGGTGGGTCGAGGACCCAACAAGTAAAGCCACGACAGGTCACTTTTCTCCGAAGGTCTTGCAGGCCTGGGGAAGACCAAGCCCACCGTAAGCATCCGCAGGGGGGGGAAGGGGGCTGAGAGGCTTACGGGAGCTCATCTAACGACTTACTCATCCATACAGCATGTTCTTGAAGGGGACTGGCTGACCGTCTTCGCTGCGAAGCGCAGTTTTTGCCAACGACACGGCGTTGGCCTTCTTGGCGCATCACGTATGCTGTTGGAACTTGGAACTGTCACGGCGGCGAACCGGGCCGTGACAGAACGAGCATGCAGGCCAAGCAAATTCTACACGAGGCATCCCCCGGCTGACCGGTCAGGCAAAGAGGAGATGATTGTCCTTCCGCAAACTGCGCCTAGTACAATCCTGCCTGGGAATCTTACTTTTCTCTCCTTTTTTCATTTCGCGAAACCGTCCCGCTTGTGGATTGTGCCTTCTACGCAATACGGGAGGCAAATGACGGGCGGAGCTAGCCTCTGGACTAGCGACTGACCCTCGTTGCAAAGTCTACCAGCAATTTGAGGGGGAGGGTTGGCGAGCAGAGCCGATCTTGTTCCAGAACCAGCCCTCGTCGCTGGCGTTGAGGTTGTGTTTGATTGAATTATCCGTATTCTGATGATCGACATAATTACTCCACCGGGATGGGCAGCAGACGGCCCAGTGATCTGACAAACGGGGTTCACGTTGGGGTCCCATTTCTACGGACTTTTTTTTTTTTCATTATCAATATTCGTACCCGAGTTCTGGGTCGAGAACAGGCAATCCCTAGTGGATGAAACCTTTAGAAGGCTTCGAAGAGAATCTAGTGCGTTTGGATCGTCAAGGAAGCAAAAAAAAAAAAAAAAAAAAAAAAACCACAGACGTTGCTGGCTTCGGGTCAGGCCGACGCCGGGCAGAGCGTTGCATGGCGCGGTTCAGTAACAGAAGGTGAGGAAGCATCAGGCATATCGGCAAGCGACAAGGTTTCTCGGAGGGCAATGATCAACCAATTTTTCTCTGCTTCTGCTGGCGGCCTGGTCGATCTTTCTGGCGGATTTCTTTTTCGACGTTTCAACGAAATAACTTGGGGGCTGCCCGGTAATAACGCAGGCTTTCCGCGCTAGCCCGATGCCAGGTCGACGACGAAGCTTCTGCTGCAGTTCGTTCTCCCGCATGGGCGGTGGGTTTTTGAACTCTGATCATTGGGCGCTCAAGTCTTGTTCTCTGCTGTCTTACTCGACCCATCGGGAGGTTAGCTACGGCAGCCTGCAGGGCGCACTGGTCCAAAAGTCAGAAATTCCCTCTTTAGGACAAAAAGATAATATAGATACGGTATGGTGTGTATTTAGGCCTACTTATAATCTCTATTAATAAGGTCTGATTGGTTTAGATATAATGCTTATATAACCTCACTACACCCCATAGGCCCATAAAAGGCTTAGCCCTGATCCTGGTCTTTTACAACTTCCGGCTTATTTCCGTAGGCCAACGCCTGCCCACTATTGCCAGCGCCTGCCCACTGTTGCCAGCGCCTGCCCACTGTTGCCAGCGCCTGCCCACTATTGCCAGCGCCTGCCCACTATTGCCAGCGTGCACCACTATTGCCAGCGCCTGCCCACTGTTGCCAGCGCCTGCCCATTATTGCCAGCGCCTGCCCACTGTTGCCAGCGCCTGCCCACTATTGCCAGCGTGCACCACTATTGCCAGCGCCTGCCCACTGTTACCAGCGCCTGCCCACTATTGCCAGCGCCTGCCCACTGTTGCCAGCGCCTGCCCACTATTGCCAGCGTGCACCACTATTGCCAGCGCCTGCCCACTGTTGCCAGCGCCTGCCCATTATTGCCAGCGCCTGCCCACTGTTGCCAGCGCCTGCCCACTATTGCCAGCGTGCACCACTATTGCCAGCGTGCACCACTATTGCTAGCGCCTGCCCACTATTGCCAGCGTGCACCACTATTGCCAGCGCCTGCCCACTATTGCCAGCGTACACCACTATTGCCAGCGCCTGCCCACTATTGCCAGCGTGCACTACTATTACTAGCGCCTACCTACTATTAAGAGTATACACTATATTTATTATTTCTTAATACTTATATTTATCTTAATAGAATTAAAGATTCTTAATTCTTATATTTATCTATTATTTATACTTAGAATTATATTCTCTCTAAGGAAAAAATTTAGACTTTGCCACTAGCCCGTGCACTTTAAGCGAGCCAATCAAAGTAAAGTCCTAAGAGTTTTGCAAAGGGGTAGGTGTAGCAACCCAAGTTGACTTTTGGACCAGTGCGCCCTGCAGGCTGCCGTAGTTAGCGCCTCTGGGTCGGTTCGTCGCCCGACGATGAGACCCTCTCCAGCCCCCCGGGTTCACGTTGAGGCGTCTCTGCGCCGATCGTCGGCTAACGAGTCAAGACCAGTGAAGCGGGCACGGTTACATTAGAGTACGAATATGGTTGTGTGCCTGTGCGACCTTGAGAGGTGCCGCCTTGGATACGTATCTCTCCTACAGTGAGGCCTTCTCCAGTCCGCCGGGTTAACGTTGAGGACGTCTCTCTGCCGATCGTTGGCTGACGATTCACGACCGGTGACGCCGGTGTGGTTTGCGATGCACTTAACATATCGGAAATAAAATGGGGCGGTCGCGAAGAAACCATGTCCCACATGAGGTCGATCAGCGAACGGTGGGAGGGAAGTGGCATCGGTCGATCCCGAGGGGAAGATGGGTCCTTTGCGCCCGACGTTCGTCGGCTCATGATGAATGTCTTGCTCCGAGACCCGGGCGGTGCTAGCCCCCGTAGCCAAACTCGGAGAGGAACCTCCCGAGGAAATGGGGCAGTGTGGGTGAGGCTGAAGGGGCCGAGCGACCGCGGACGCCGGCTGTTCGATGCTTGACAGGAAGGGGGCATCAGGGACGGAACCAGAGCGAGGAGAATGGAAGTCGAGCAGAGGGAAGCCCCCCAGCCAAGGAAAGGCCTCTTTTCTCTTCGTCCTTGGTGCTTGGCGAGTCTCCCGAGTCATCTCACGAAAACCAGATGTCCACAGAGCAACGGCTGGGCCTGTTGACGAGCGGGTGTTCTCTCTCGGCCCCAAGACTGGTGCGAAATTAGGACGTATCTATATATACACTCCGCCGATGTCACTTCGTGCGGAAGAGGGGGCGTGAGATACTACAGAGTTCGATATTGTATGCCAGCACGTCGGCCGGTAGAACTCCTGCGTCGAATTACCCATATGTGACTGATTCCTGGTACTCTATGGATTGAACCTACGGAGATCATGATTCGTGAAGACTCTGGCTCTGTTGACGAACCTGGCTTTGTTGATGAATCTGCACCGTCGTCCACGGTCAAAGGGACGCTAGGACGGTCAGCTCCCCTTGCCGTCCTCTCCAACTCTTTGACCTTATTGGTTTCATATTGATTCTCTCTCCAAGCCTCTCGCGTGGTTTTCATGAAAACCCCAGCCCTGGTTTCAATGCCGTGTTTTGCTCAAGCGTCATGGAGTGAGGGCCCATCGACGCAAGAGACGGGCAGTCGTCAATTTTGTCTCCGAGATCCCGAAAAGGTTCCAAGGGGGGCGGGGGGGTTGAGGTTGAGGTCATCAACGAGGACGAGAAGCAAGGAATGGCATAGGTATTTCTGGTATCATGACGGGACGGAGATCTATGTGGGAAGCAATGCTTATTATCGAGTAAGAGCGGAGGGGAAAGTACCGTCGAGGTAAGTACAGAGCAAGCGTGGTTGCCCCGGGTCCAGGTCTCATCGTGGCAACTAAAGGTGGACATCTTTTTCACCGTCCTTTTCATCATCCCCCCAAGAGGAAACACAGAACCGCCCCCGCTTCAGAGCAGGATACTCGGAATGCACATGCCGTGGAGTCACCCCGGGAACTTGGGATCCAAGAGGGCTCGTTTCCCTGCCTGTGCTCAGCCGGGCCATGCTCGTCCAGCCGCATGTCGTCAAGCCCGTCGAAGCCGACCAGCGCTACCGGGCGACGGGCGAAATGCCGAGAGAGCTCTGGAGTCTATGCCGGCCACCATGGTTGTTTCACGGCTGCCCTTTGGGGACGGATGGGCGAGGCGGCATCGGAGACCAAGAACGGGCCGCGGCCGGAGGAAGAAAACAATACCTAAGGATGAGTTCCCGTCGCGGCGAGTTTGGGTAGACCGCCGGTTCCGCTGTGACATCCGGTCAAGAAACTGGAGGCTATGTTATCCGGGGGACATGTCACCCGCATCCTTTCAACAACGTCCGATCTTCTTTGGGAGGGATGGAATGCGATAGACTGACGTACAAAATGCCTACCCAAGACGACGACGCTGACGTGTAAGCCGCCAGTCATTCCCGCAACTTGATCCTTACGAAAACCGATACAAGCTTCAAGTACATGCCGTTCACTTCCCAGAAACCCTTCGAAGTCGGGCTCCCCATGTCCACGTTCTGACCTGCCCCTCTCCGTTGACGGTGGCCAAGTCGTTGAGGTGCTGGTTGCGTGTTATGGTGATGGTCGTGTTCAGTGTTGAATCACTCGTCCCGCACGACAAGACGACAGAGATATTCCCCTGCAATTGCATGCTTACAGTCTGGGCTTTCTGAGCAGTGTGTGTTTGTTTGTCTCATCTCTTGATTGGCGCGTCTCGTCGTCTTCTGCGAAAACCCCATCTATCATACAGCGGTTCATCATCCAGGGAACTGCATGGCGTATGTACAGCTAGCTAATTAAAAACCATGAGCCGCAGTCATTAAACCCCCCTCCAGGCGAATTTCATACACTCTCCTGCCCCAGCGATATCCTCTGGCTCGTGCTACCCGGCCCGGCCTCGCCATAGATATCAACATCCGTGTACACGCTGTTGATCGCCACCCTCGTCGGGGGCACTGGCCTCGACGCGCTCGGCTCCGAAGCCGCCGACACGGCGGGGTCCCTTGCACCGCTCTTTGTAACCGTGGACGTAGCGCCCGAGTCCGCAATTGAGGGTTTGTCTCCCATGCTGTCGCCGGCCCCGGGGACGAAGCAGCGCCACAAGGTCCGGAGGATAGGCATGCTGAGGACGAGGTTGCCGACCAGCATCGTCATGCTGACTTCGCGAACGGACCACAGGAACCAGACGGGGTTGGTCGGGTTGGTGAAGACGGTGACCTTCATTAGGGTCGCGCAGAGCATCTAGTGACGGAACACGGTCAGGAAACCGAGTGGCTCGCACAGGTGGGCAAAATGGTGCTGTATAGGGAGGGACTCACGACGAACACGCCCATGCTAAACAGGCAGATGAGGAGGAGCTTCCTGGCAAGGCCACGAGAGTTAACATTCAGCTTTTAGGCAACATAGGAGCGATGCGGCAAACGGGGCCAATCGAGGAGCACGTACTTTCCTATCCTCATCTTCAGCTGGCTGATGAGCGTAACGGGTATCAGCAGCAGGATAAGATCCGTCGAGAGGTTCATCGTGATCTGAAGGATGTTGTAATTCGTCCACGTCAAACACTGGACTGCATTGGATGTCAGCCACTCTCGCCACCGCACGTTTTGTCATTTGCAAGCATTTGAATGCGCCGCGATTGCCATGACTAACCGTTTCGAGGATTCAGTTCCATGTAGTCGGAGAACGGGCGACACCATCCTCCATACAATGCAACAATGACCGCGAGATATGCCAACCCCGTGTAAGTGGCGACAAAAATCAACGTATTGTGATAGTGACCGAAGAGACTGTCATTCGTGAGATTTCCCCTTCCATGTCAACATCGCATGGATGGCAACGTACGCCAGGCGGTCGTACAGCAAGAGTAGGCAGCACTTGTTGCCCCACAAGGTCGTCTGTATGGCCGTTTCGGCGAGGATGTTAATGATCCCCAGTTTGCGACCGATTGCGAAATTCTCTTCCGGGGTGAGAGCATCGATTTCAGTTTCCACGGCGATGTCAAAGTACTTGTACAGGGCAGCGATTGCCGTAGTGTACGTAAACTAATAAGCCAGGTAAATCAGTAAACCTATCTGTCATGGTCTCCCAACGATGGAAGAAGAAGAGGTCGTGGGGGAGGTCGTGGGGGAGGTCGCGTCATGCGTGGCTACGGGCAGACGTACGACCAGAATGAGCATCAGAACGTCGTCCACGGGGATGTCGCTAAGGAACTTGTGCTTTCGAATGATGTACTGCGACATGCTTCACCATCGTGTCAGCCACAGGGAAACTCGGCAAGACGGAACGGCGCAACTAACAATCTCAGGATTACCGAGGAGATGGCTAACGTAAACCAAACCCAGCATTCTGCTTTCGCACCAAGTGGCAGAGACATCGCAGCTGTGGTGATGTTGGCATGACCGAAACGTCCGCCCAGCCAACCCTGCGTTTCGCGACGATTCGACGATTCGAACCCTGGTTACGATTGCGGTGACAACGATGATGATTCTGGCTACAGCCTTTGATCTGATGTCGGTGATGAATATCCGGAATACATCAACGCGAGAGCGAGAGTCGTCGCATTTTGAGGGCTGGAACGCCTGGCAACCTCAGAGCTGAGCTCGCGTGCAACTATATAATTGCGGCAGGAGCCGAGCGGATTGAGGGGTAATTCCACACCCGGAAGCCATCAGATCAGATCCGGCGAACTGAGAGCATGGCGGGCGGCCTAGATCAACCCTCACGAAGGGAAGGTGCAGCGTACAAGTCCACGAAACATTGTGGCTTTGGATCGATTATGGCCCAAGGTCAGGTCGAGCGGACAGAAGGAAGCTCCGCACCAATTGCTGGCTTGTGGAGGGAGACGAACAGGTGGTGAAGAGCAAGGCTAGGAAGGACGGGCCAGGAGCTCGTGGGCGATCATACGCCCTAAGCCGAATGCGGCTGCAATCCATCAACCAGTCTCCACCGCAGAATTTAAGCATCACCTCCCGGTGCTTGGCTTCCCGATCTGTTTAGAAAATACCATTGTCCACTCCATCTTGAGGAAGCCCTTTCTCTTTGTTGCATGCTCACCCCGTTGGATGGCAACTTTTGACGACGGCAATGCTCATAAGCTAGCGGGAGTTTGTTCGGTCCTCATCAAGGTATGCACTGCCACAGTCTGGATATCCACAGTTCCGGCCTTGGAGGCGACAACAGCTGCAAACCAACTGACTGCTTCGTCGCACTCGATCTATACTGTTGGGGATGGCTCGCCGAGTGTTGTCTGTGTACAAGAGCGCTCTGGCGGGCGCTCCGTGTGCTGTTATAGAGGATCGATTATCGAAGGACCGGTAAACATAAAAGTAAAAAACCCGAAAAGAAAAAAAAAAAAAAGAAGAAGAAGAAGAAAAAGAGAAAGGGACAGGTATATAATGCACTTTGATATGGGAACTTTCATAGCGGGGTTTGATATTGTTTAAAGCTCTGGATGGGTACGCCTGTGATGTTGTTGAAGGACCGTAAGGTGCAAACTACGTACCTAGGTAGGCGCTTTCCGTCATCGCGATGATCGAGCCACCGTGCAACCCCGATAGAAAACCCCCATGAAAGTTGACCAACAAGCAAGCAGGGGAGGGAGAGGGCCCTGAGGACCGGCAACAGAGGTACAGATACCTACAAGGCGATCCTTCGTGAGGTCGCACAGGTACACAATAGTGACTATATGCAGTGGAAAGAACACCGTAAAGGTACTACTATGCTCGGTACTCAACACAAGATAAGGTTTCTGATGAAATACCATGGAGATATCCGGGTATCTACCCTATTGCTCACCAAACTACCTACCTATAGAGGCTGAGGACCGGTAAAGAAGTCACCAACGCCACCAACCAAAGACGGGAAATCCCTGCCCAAAGTCCTTTTCGTCACTTCGTTCCCTAGGGTAGAGCTAGCCGAGGAGGCTACATTCCCTGGAGATACAAGATAGGGTGGAATAGAATTAAATAGCCTTGGTTCTTCGTGTATTTTATAAGAGCTGTCCCTCGCTCTCCATGCTGTGGACCCCCTTTCTGCCGCACTTCCCATGCATGCCGTGATTGTTCGTTTGTCCGAGTCGGCGGTTCGCAATGGGCCCTGATACTGAATCTGGCAGCAACACGAACATGAACGCCCGATTGCCGGGCAGCTCAGCCGAAACTGGAACCATAGGTTACATCTTATATGTGTGGCCAGCCCTTCGGATCCTCCTTCAAATCACCCTTTATGCAGGCGAAACCGCGCTGCGGAACCCGTCAGTTGTCATGGGTCAAGTCGGAAATGGACCCGATCAAGCACGAGGCACCTGCGGTCAGGGACTTCGGCGGCCGGGAAGCCCTGGCTGCCGGTACCACTATTCTCTCAGCTACTGTCGTTTCCTCGCTCGCGACGCGATTCTTCACCCAGCAGGTCGATCCGAGACAACGGACTTGTGTAGCGCGGAGCCGGCACCGTTGCCAATAGCGGACCGGTTCCACTGAAGTTAATATTGTTAGCTCCAGGCCTGCGAGTGATCAGAGCGCCTGCCCAAGGGAGGAAAAGGCACCGAGGGGAGAAGGGGTTTTTTCCCTCCTTCTCATCTCGCACCTCCCCCTACTCCGCCTATTCTCCGTCTAGTCTAGTGTATCTCGCGCGTTTTGGTGACTGGGGACTTGTGGGCTTTTTGGTTGGGTGCGATGGCATCGGTCCCGTCAAAAGGCCAGCCATCGCAGCCTGACCATTTCCCCGACAATCACTCCGAGTGGAGGGAGGAGTGTTTTCGTCCCGTGGTAAAGGTTGGACAGGGTCGGGCTTGAGCACAGACGGGACGCGGTGAACTTAGTCAAGACTGGATGTCCCAAGTAACAAGTAACACGGATACCAGTCCCGGCGCCGCTTGCGTTTGACACATTTCTGGCTTTGGACAGCGTTGACAGTGAAGGCGGATGTTCCCGGGTGGTGGGCGACCGGACCTGAAACCTTGTTAGGCAGTTGTTTCGCATCGACAGAGCCATCGAATGCAGCTTCAGACGAGGGACTGAGAAAAAGAGGGATTGGGCGGTTTGGTTGGACATGCCTAGTGACCGCACATCAATCTGCTGACGATCTAGGATCCTTATTGGGATTTCAGCACCCGAATGAGATCATTGGTATGTGCCTGCGTTGCTGTGGCATCTTGCTGGCAACGGTAAGCAAAGGCGAACCAGTGGACGCCCCCTCGCGCGTTTATGGCCGCTTCGACAAAACCTACAGGTACTTAGTCCGAAGAAATGAAATGAAAAACAGAGGTCCGAACAGGGGACTTCCAAGGAGCATGAGTGTGCTACCCCGGCATGGGATAATCCTCACACCACGTCCGAGGTGAGTAGGTAATAGTTTGGAATACCTACCCAAACTACCCCCCATACAGCGCCCGCTAAAAGTTCCAAGGCGTGGATCCGCCGCCGGCACACGTAAAAAAAAGAAAAGAAAAAAAAAGTATTCACGGGCTTGTCGACCAGTCACCGGCCGTGCGCACCACCCCCACCATCCTATCCTCCTACTTCTCCTCGGGGAGATGTGTGCCCCCACCATTATTATCACCTGCTGCCGCTACCGCTACCGCTGCCACTACTACTGCGTCTCCGTCTTTGGCCGTATTGTCCCTCTCCTCCAGCCTCTCTCTCCACCAAGAGAGGCAGGTTTTCCTGCTTCCACCACTCCTTTCTCGCCTCGCTCTTCGCACATCATCCGTTCGGGCTGCCCAGAAAGACTCTTCGTTCCGCGACGAGAGCGCGCGAGAGAGAGTTCAGACTCTGCCACCGAGATACTTCGGCGCGAGGCACTAATCCTCTGTGCGCCCTGAACACCCACCACCAGCGTTTCCTCAGTCTCGAACACGAACCCCACGATAAGCGTCCTAGGTAGTCTTCCCTATCTTTTGCGCAATTTGCCCACCCTGTTTGATCGACTGCAACCTGACATTCTTCTACGACTGTCGCTATCGACCTGGAATACCGACACCAACTCGGCTTCTTGATTTGAATTGGGCCATGGGATTTGTTGGAGTCCCGATATCGAATACGAGCACACTCACCTCACCACCTGCCGTCGAGCTAACGACGCCCTACGCCTCGGAAACCTAGTCAAGCCATAATGGACGCTGCTTCTTGGAACCCCCAAGACCAGGGTTTGGCACCCAACCACGATGAAGAGTTTCAGCAGTTTTTGGACATGGGTGGGATTGGCAACCTTAGCGACACGATGCCCTTCGACTTCCACGACTACCAGGGCGGGAATGGCTCCGGAATGATGCACCAGGCCGGGCACGAGCACCTCGACACCCAAATGGGAGGAACCGACACATCCATGGTCATGGGAAATGCCAGCTCATCCCTCCAGTCGCAGCTTATCAACATGACAACCGGCGCCTCACATCCTGCCATACCGGCCCAGATGATCCCCCCCGCGCCGACGGATGCTATCACGGAAATCGACGCCCAGATCCAGTATCTCCAACAGCAACGGATGCAGCAGCAGCATCGCCAGATGCAGGAACAGCAGGTCGCCTACTACACTACCCGGTCACATGCTGTTCCGCCAACGCCTCAAAGTCTTGAGATGCCGCCCGCCAGCAACCAGTTTTACTCGACAGAGCAGGGCCACACCCCCATGTTCGGCAGCAGATATCAGCGAATGAAGGAACAGCAGGATGTAAGATGCCCATCGCCTCGAGCCTGAAAAGAGCTCCCAGCTGACCTTTCAAGATGTCCTTCACCCCATTGGTCTCACCAGCAGTGACCCCCTTGGATCCCCATTTCCAGATGGAAGCCGGCGGATACGCCATTCCCAGCGCATACTTCAGCCCTCTCACATCACCAGCACTCCATGCACAAAGCGACCAAGGCCTCGTGTATGACGGGCGGTCGTCGCTCTCAGCCCACAACTCACCGGCCGAGATGGAAGTCGAGACGACTACTCAGTCTCCGGGGTTCGACCTGGCAAAGAAGGCACGCAAGACCAACACCTCGAGAGCAAAGGTAAAGAACAGTGTGCGACAGTCGCCCATCTCGAAGCCTCAACGTAAGAAGTCTACAGCCACGCCAAAAATGGTTTCACAGGCTCTCCGGGAAGTGAACGAAGACTCGCTGGAACAGATGCTGCCCTCAACTGCTCTGCCGGGCCTCATGAGCAGTGAAGAGTCGGAAAATGCGTCAGTGTCGCCGGAGAATATCTCAGACATGCCACCGCCGCCCCTTCCCCAGCCGAAACAGTCAAGCAAATCGCCATTCATTCAACCTCAGCCTCAGCTTCACCCCCAACCCGCGGTACCGGCTCACGTACAAGGCAAGCCATCTCCTGCTACGCCGGCCTCTCTCATGAAGCTTCCCGCTTCCAGCGCGAACAACTCAGCCTCGTCAAATCCCCAAGACCTGGGAATATCAGACAACATCGAGTCGTTCGAGCTACCCGAGTCCGTCAACTTTACTACACGACCACAGCCCCCGAAACTGGACATGCCCACGCCCACGCAGTCATTGTCAGACCCTGGCTCGGCGAGGACCTCGTCACTCCAGCCGCTCCCTTCGCCCACCTTCACCAAACCCACTGCCGCTGCTTCAGCAAGCGCGAGCCCTAACCTAGCGCCGGGTTCGACAGGTCCAACGGCACGGAAAACGCCGAAACTTATGGCCAGAGGTGCCCAGGGCAAGAGAGGTAGCGTCAGCTCAGTGCACGTCTCCCCCGCGTTGCGACCGAGGATATCACCCAGCATCAAGCCGCTCTTGCCGGGAACCCCCGGCGGCATGTCTGCCGAAGATACGGCATCCCGTCTGTTGGCATCCAAGTCCAACTACCAGAACATTATCGAGGGCAACACCGTGCCCGGCGTGACGTATCCCAGCGAGCTGTCCACCAACCTCACATCAAAACGCACGTCCCACAAAATTGCTGAGCAGGGCCGCCGGAACCGCATTAACTCGGCCTTGCAAGAAATGGCAACGTTGTTGCCTCAGCCACCGAAGGATTCCAAGACTGAGGCGGAGGAAAAGAAGGAGAGAGAAAAAGAGTCCAAGACCGGCGGCGCCCCGAACAGCAAGGCCAGCACTGTCGAGCTGGCGATCGAGTACATCAAGCAGCTGAAGCAAGAAGTCGCCGACGCAAACAAACGAGCCGAGGAGGCCGAGAAGAAGCTGGAGCTGCGTGCGAAGGAGGTGCAGAGAGAGACCGTATAGGGCTAGTTGCGAACATGATGACAGGCTCGGGGCCCCCCCCCTCTGACGAAACCGAGCAACCGGCACAGGCTTGATATACGAAATAATACAAGGTAGAAAGGGGCATTCGGAGTTTTGTAGTTCACGAGCAGCAGTTTCCCGCTTTTTGAATCTCGCCACACAAGTGGCTCTCGTATGCAACACGCGGACGTCAGTATGGGGCTCTATTCTTCTAGACAAGTCTAGACCAAAGCCTGACAAACACATAGTATCGACACCCATCAATCGGCCCAGGTGTCACAAAACTCGGCACAAATCATATGGCTGTACTCCGTATATTCTAGGGTATCACAATGTTGAAATAAATACAAAAAGATGATGCACCGTTCCGTTCCGTGTTATGTCGCATGCAGGTGGTGCTTTTCTGTATGCTCCTTTTCCTTGCTTTTTCTTTTTTTCCTTTTCTTTTCAATATCCGCAACTCTCCCTACTCTGCATGACTCAACTCACTCGTTGTCCCGATTGTGCTCCAAGACGTCAACGTCAAGCTCCTCCATCACCTCGACGACAAGGTTGAGGCTCTCCATGAGGCCGTTGACGGCGACGCGGAGCATGCGGTTCGTGGTGGCCTTGTAGTGGACGCGGAGGACGGAAGCGGGTTCGGCAGCGGCGGCGGAGGAGGAGGCGTCGTCGACAAAGAAGGTTCGCCTAACGAGCGGCGACAGCTCCTGGTCGACGGCGAGGGCTCTGTGCGCCACGGATGCAAGGCGTGGGGTAGGGAAGGGGACGTCGATGGTCCTGCGGCTTGGTGTCTTAGTGATCCGTTTCTCTCTCCGGTGGTGCGCCCAGAAACAATGCGCCACAAGGGGGTGCAAGGGGGAAAGGGAGACCAGATGTGATAACTCACAGCGAGCACGGGAACTCATCGTCAGTGGTGGTGGTGGTGGTGTTGACGGCCATGGCTGCGGTTCCGGCGCGGCTGATTTGCGCTTGGAGGGGAAGGGGGAAGATGTGGAGGAGTGAGGGGTGCTTTCAGCAGATAGGCAGGGTAGGAGGGGACTGGGAAAGCTGGCAAAAGGGGGGGGGAAACCTGCAATCGTCATTGGGCGGCGCAGAATTTCTGTTTAGCACAGTCCACCAAGCGGGAACACAAAACACCAAAACGCACAATGGAAAGTGTGAGATTGAGCGGCCAGATCACAGGCGGGAAGGGGGCAAAGCAAAACGGCAATAAACTGCCCCGCCATTCCACAGGCTTGTTTCCATGGCGGCATTAGGTTGAAGTGACACTCCCTCCCCCAACGGATCGATCCCCTAGGCAAAGCATGGCAACGGCAACGCTACGCACAGGACTCTCCGCACCATCCCCAAGGTGACTCGCTCTCTCTCCATTGGAGGTGCTGGGTGTGTTTGTGATGGATGCGGTCATCATCCACACAAGGAGGGATGCGAACGTGGGGTCGGCCTGGCGTCGGGTATGTCTGACGCAGTGCCGCCCGATAAGCAAGTCTGGAACCTCTTTGCGGAGCAGCTCGATTGTTGTGAAGGAATAATACGGATTCACACACATAACATAACAGGGCAAGGCAGGTTCGTTTATGGTCTTACTCTACCTAGCGCATATCTTGGGAAGAAGGAGGGAGGTTTGCGCTCGAGCGGTCGTCACCAGCCGTCAAGAGCCCAAAAGGGTTTAGAGGGGCCATGACTGGGGGCGGGAGGGAGGCGGGTGCGTTTGCCTGAGGCGTTCCTGGCCGACCAAGGGCCCCAGGTGATTCGCCAGGGCGTCGCAAATGGCCAGTGCTTCCCCCCTGGCAGGTTGTCTTGACAACGGCCTGGCAGCCCGGCAGCCAGCGCAGCGCAACGAGGCTAACAACAACTGACCCTTGCTGTTTTGGGCCAGGGCCCATTGTGACCGCTTCAGCAAAACATACGCCAAACCATACAAAAACACCATCGTTCGGTCCCTCCCTGCGCTTCGCAATACCTTCTTTTTACCCAACTCGATATCACTCCGTTTCTCTCTCAATCGCCAAAGAAGCTCCTGGCTCCTCTCCAGAAATCGGGTTGCTTTTCCCCCCACCTTCCTCCAGGGCGCTTGCAACCTCTTTTGGCGATTCCAATCCATCCCGATACAGAGAGTGCACCTGTTGTTGTTATTGTTTCAGCCCAGGCCATTTCAACATTCCTACCTCTCACCACCACGCATTGCCACTTCCCCAGAGACTACTTTCCCTTGCGCCCGCGCATTACTTTGCGTACAAAGGAGTATCGTATCCTCCGCCTCTGGATAATTCCTGCACCTGTCATATTCTCTCACAAACAGGCACTCGCTTGCGCTTGCATCTCTAAATCAAGCCGCCGCCTCACACGGGAGCAACTGCCTTCCTCATCCGTTCCCAATTGATATAGAAAATCAAGAGGAAACAGAGAGTTCCCAAGACCAATGGCACCTTCTTCCAAGAGCCCCAACATGGGCCAAGTCATTGAGTATATCCCAGGTATGTTTCTGCCCACGCTCCCAACCTGCATTGTGCACATCATTTTGTCACTGCAGCCATGTCGCATCCTTATCACGAGCTGTCCGGGTCGCCTCAGTCGTCGCAAGCCGCCATGGGCGCATCACCCGACAGTTACAGCTTTGCCTTAGCCCAGCTTCATCCCTACCTCTATTGCGCCTTCTTTCCCGTGTCTCTTCTGACTTGGCTCCCAGACCGCCTGTATCTGGCTGCGTACATTCACCCGCCCACGGCCGAGACCATTTTCCCCTACGGCGAGGCCGTCCAGTCTTCTCCCAGAAAGCGATCGCAGAGAGCCGCCGAAGGCCCCACGCCCGTCCAGACCGTCGCTCGTCAAACTCCCTACTACTTCACCGTCGACGACACCCTCCTGTACAATGCTTTCCACCACGACTTTGGCCCACTGCACATCGGCCACCTGTACCGCTTCGCCCTGCAGTTCCACGACGTCCTCGGAGCCAAGGAGAACAAGGATCGGCCAATTGTCTTCTGGAGCAGAGCCGATCCCAGAAGTATGTTGCAGCGTTCCCGCGCCGTTGACCTCCCTTGCTAATGCTTCTTTTCAGGTCGCGCCAACGCCGCTTGCATGCTTGCCTGCTACATGGTCCTGATCCAGAACTGGCCCCCGCACCTGGCCCTGGCCCCCATCGCCCAGGTCGACCCGCCCTTGATGCCCTTCCGTGACGCTGGATACAGTCAAGCCGACTATGGTATCACCGTCCAGGATGTTGTCTACGGTGTCTGGAAGGCCAAGGAGGAGGGTTGCTGCGCCCTAGACAACTTTGACCTCGACGAGTATGAAAAGTTCGAGAGAGTGGAGCACGGAGACTTCAACTGGATCACGCCGCACTTCCTGGCCTTCGCTTCGCCTCAACACGCCCCAGTTGCCAAGGTCCTTGAGGGTACCGAGGAGTTCGATGCACTCCCCAGGTCGCTCGGACAGCTGGACGCGAACAAGACGCTTCCCCAGCCCTTCAAGAACGTCCTGAAGCACTTCACCGAGAGGAACATCGGCCTTGTCGTCCGTCTCAACTCGCCCCTATACTCCCCTTCCTTCTTCGAGGCCATGGGCATCTCCCACCTCGACATGATTTTCGACGACGGCACCTGCCCGCCTCTTACCACTGTTCGCAAGTTCATCAGACTGGCGCACGAGACCATCACCGTCAAGAAGAAGGGAATCGCCGTCCACTGCAAGGCCGGCCTCGGACGAACTGGCTGTCTCATCGGCGCGTACCTCATCTATCGCCACGGCTTCACGGCCAACGAAATCATCGCCTTCATGCGCTTCATGCGTCCCGGCATGGTCGTCGGCCCCCAGCAGCACTGGCTTCACATCAACCAGGGCATCTTCCGCGAGTGGTGGATCGAGGAGCGCATTGAGCGCAAGCTCCGCAAGGAGATGGCGGCTAACGCTGCTGCGCCGAGCACTCCCATCCGTGCTATGCAAAAGACGTCGATCCGCAACGGCCAGGCATCCACGCCTCCCCACCGCAGTACCTCGAACCGGACGCCCCTGAGCGAAGTCGACCACGACCGCAATAACATTGGGGTTCAAGAAGACTACCTCCCGGCGCCGACACCGGGCCAGCCCAGAAAGACCAACAGGGCAGACCGTCACCACCCCTACCAGAGATCGACTTCGTACACAGCGACGGTCGAGGAAGAGACGGGAATCCACCAGGACACCGCCGAAGTCATCACAATCCACAAGCAAACACACAGCGCCGAGTCTGACGAGGAACTGCACATCCGAATGCGCGCGCACCGCAAGGCTTCTGCATCGCCTGGCCGCAGCGAGAAGCGATCAGTTAGTCACTCAGCCGCCACCGTGTACCAGACTTACATCGACAACGATGCCAGCAACGACGTTGAGAACCTCGGCACATCACGTGTCAAGCATGTCGACCGCGTTAGCAGCGCATCGGGTGTTCTCACCAAGGTTCGTGGCAGCAAGCGGTCGGGAGAGTCGCCGAGGTCTAAGGAGGGAGTACGCAAGACGAGCGGGCGTGTCGGCAGCGTGGGCAATTCGGCCACGTCTGCGACGGCAGCATCAACAGCACGAAAGGTCTCTGGCGCCTAGGTGTCGCGCAGAGCCATTCAGCCCGGCCCTCGATCCTGAGTTTCCCCCTTGGACCGCGAGACTCGGACCGACTGCTTACTAACCACTTATGATGATGATGATCACGACCGGTCCATGTTGTTCTGCATGAATTGGCGTTGGGTTCTGGTAACCTTGGAGATTGCGGCGAACTGGGATGGTGTTCACGACAAGGCGATGACGATGACGATGATGATGACGAGCAACTGCATCTTCTCTTCTCTTCTCTCCCCTTTCCCCAGGCATTCGATGCGTATATATACCTGGCTTGGCAATCAGCCGGTTCAACCTATTTGTGTTTTTGAGGCGTTCACGGAGGGGCATTGGTATTGATGATTGTATTGTATTTGTATTTACATTTGTTGGTTTTGCTGCGTTTCATACAGACATTGTTTCTGTCTTTTTTTCCCCGTCTTCTGGGCACGGAGGAAGAAGGGGGCAAAATGAGGAAAGTGAGGCAGTGGCAGTGGGCATGCTTCGTTTCCTGGGGAGATGTTTCTGGACATTGTCGGTCGCACGAAACATACGCACGTGATGGAGGGAGACCTTGCCCGTTTGATTTTCCGTATCAATACAAAAAAGTACGCACACACGATGAGGAGCCGGATGCTGCATAGTGAGAGAGCACAAATCCGTGTTCGTTGTGAGATGATTCGCGCAGGCTTGGTCCTGAGATAGATGAAGTTCATGAATTCATGAGTGTATGGTCGGCGGCGATCGATGCTTCACTTGGGACGAATCCATTCGCTGACGGTGCTCGGTAGAGACCAGCCGTCGCTGAGAAGGGACCTGGCGTATAGATATAACTGACCTCTTTGGTGCCGACAGTTGCCGTGGATTCACCTACGACGAGGTAACCTAAGAAAAGGGCCCTCCAGAACCTTGATCATCATGAAGTTCCATTTAGCTTGACGATTTATTACATCTGTTCTAGTCTTGTTATGTTTTATATCTTTGGAAGCATCTCAAGCCAAGAACCCCCCCAACTCATTACCATTAGCTTCATACGTATGCTATGCTCGGAAACCTTGTGTATAATAATCCAATACCGGCACCTCGACTCCGACGCGATGCTGGGAATCCAACGTGTATCATGCAGCTCCTAGTAAATACAACCCCCCGCCCGCGTCTCTACTTTTTCATACTCCCGGCACTCGGCTCGACGGTATATATCGTGCGGCCGCCGCCCCGCCGAATCGTATTCGGCTCCTATTCAGCATCGTCGCTGCTGGACTGGCTCTCATCAGACTCCGCCGACACGCTCGCCTTCTTGTTCGGCGGGGTCCACCGCTCGACGTTCTCGCATCCCTTGGGGACACGGCACTCGTCTCTGGCATCGCACGTCTTCCACAATACCTCGCGAACCTCCCTAAACACCTGCTCCGGGGCGTCCATTGCCCAGATGACGTCGAGGTGCTCATACTCGGGGATGACCTTGGCGTGGACCACGTTGACGTGCGGCTCACGGCCCCGCTCAAATCTGCGGAGGAGCTTGTTGCCGTCGACGAGGTCGTCGTTGCCGGCGACCCAAAGGGCGAAGGGGGGTACCTGCTCGTTGTACCAAGCGGTCGATCCCTTGGGCTTGCGGGCGTGTTCCTCCAGTGTCCTCTGGGACATGAGCCCGTCGGCGTCGTCGGCCCGGAGGGTGTGGGACTCGTGCCCGCTGATGTGGTCTTCCTTCTCCTCGGCGCGGACGTCCTCTTTGGTGGAGAGAATGCACTTGTGCCTCGCGAAGCACTCCCTTCCAAGCCACCAACGCATGGATTCCGCGCTGACGTAGACGGGCGCGAACTGGAACATGCGGTGCTTCAGAGCTCGATCCCACCTCGTGTCCGTCCAGTCGAACAGGAAAGAAAAGACTTTGTAACCGAGCCAGCCGTAGACCTTGGGGTGAAGCAGCTCGTGCATCTTCATCATGAAGGGAATGAAGGCGTGGATGCCGAACATCAGCCGGAACATGCCCGGCGTGATGATCCTCATGAACTTGAAGTACATTTTCCCGATCAAGGGCCCGGCATACGCAGCGGGCGCCAGTGCGCAGAAGACCGTCAGCTTTTCGCCCAGGTCTGGACGTTGCTCCTTTGCCAGCGCTACGAGCGTTTGTGTCGTGCCCTGCGAGTGGCAGATCAAGCCGATCTTCTTGAACCCAGTCTCGTACAGGACCCTTGAGGTCAGCGCCGGCAGGTCAAAAACACCCATCTGGCGAATGTTCCAGCACCACATCCGCGGGTCGGAGTACTCCAGCGAGGAATGCTTGGGCTTGAAGCCGCACCGGTTGTTGCCAAGCCAGACGTCGTAGCCGGACTTGCAGAGGTAAAATGCGAGTGAGTCCTCGTCGTTTGTGCAGTACGCTCCCGAACTCTGGAGAAGGCCATGGAGGAGTAGAACGGGAAACTTGCGCTTCTGGCTGGGATCCTTGAGCTTCTTTTTGGAAGATGTGAATATGTCGGGTCCTCTGTCTGACCTGTCGTCTTCGCTCATCCTCGTGTACTCCTTGGGGTCGTATACGTGCCACAAGTCGATGAGGAAGCCGTCTTCGGTTTGAACTTGGATCTCTTCGACGTCGAGTCCGACACGACGAGCGTAGTATCCAACGTCGCACACAATTGGGTCAGGGCCCCCTTCCGTTGGGACAAACTCGTCGGCGAGCTCCTTGTCTTTGACTAGACTCTCTCTGCGCTTCCATTTCTGGTTTTCTTCCTTGCGCACCTTGTTCCTGCGCGCCTCTTCCTCGAAGAAAGGTCTCTTCTTGTCCGGATTCTGCAGTGTTAGGCGGTAGAAGATGTGCGTGCACAACGGTGGTATGCTAGTGAAGAGTGCACCGAGTACAATGACTCCGAGAAAAGCCAGGCTCAGGAAGAAGGCCGTGACACGAAAAATCAGGCATTGTAAGTCGCGAAGCAACGACGGCGGGCCGTAGAGGGGCAAGGGCGGAAACAAGGGGTTGGTGTGTGACGGCGGCACCTGGCGACGAAGGGAGCCCTCTTCCGACTTTTGTTTTTCCTTTCCGTTTGTATCTGTTGGTAGCGAGATGACCTTTTCCTGCATGCCTGGGGCCTTTTTGCCGTTGTCAATCTCTTCCTCCGTGTCACTCCCCTGTTTGATCTTGATCACAGCTGGGCCATCTTGAAGCTCTTCCTTGAGAGCGTTCAGCTTGTGCGCCTCGACAAGCGGGACACCTGGGAGCCTGTTGCCTTCCGAGGTGACCACGATGGGGTCTTGGGGTGTAACGAATCGAGCCTCGACGGCGACCTCGGAGTCGTTGTTCTGGTGGTTCTGGAGTGACAGCTTCTCGGCCTGCTGGGCAAACTCAACAGCGACACGTGCGACGCCATTGTCGCGTATTCTGTCTCGACCATGGTCCGGAGACTCGGAAAAGTTGCCCATATCTTCGGGGTTGTGTTTGCAACCGCTCACGTGAGATAGAGAGCGAGAGAAGAAGAAAGAAATTAAGAAATAAAGAAAAACACGAGTTGCCCGGCGTCGCAAAAGTCGCAAAATGTTGGGGTTCAGTGAGATTCGTGCGCTTAAAAGGGGTATGTAATCGCTTGTCTTCGCGCAATAACGACAAGAACATGCGAGATGAAGTTGAAAAGGAAGGTAGACGGGGTGGAAATTTGCCCGTCAAATGTCCTTTTTGCAGCCACTGATGGCATGAACAGGCCTCATGTTGGTGTCGAAGCGGTCCAAGGCAGGGAAACAGAGCGTAGATCCAGAACAAGGAAGGGGGGGGGGGGGGGGGGGGGGGGGGTGGGCGAGTAAATTGGGGACGTGAGGACACCGATACACTAGTGATACTATTAGTTGGAGACCGGGAGAGTAGCCAGCACGGTTCGGTTGGTTGGTGAATACCAAGGCAGAGAGGCGAACTACGGACCCTTAGGGGACTACCGGTAGACAGAGATAAATACGGAAAGTCGGCCAATGTAAACATCGCAGCGTATTGGACTTACCGCAAGAATTGTGGAATGATGATGTCGGTCTAGATGCCATTGATGCGGGCCGCAAGCTAGATCGTGTCACGGTCTCGACTTGCCAATGCCACCTCGAATCGGAGCAGCACGGCAGAGCGCACCCCCGGGCTGGAGTGCAAATAACGTCCGCGCCCACGAGGCCCAGCCGCCGCCATTCGAAACTCTGCTTTGGGCCCAAGGTCCTCCCTGTCATTTGCGGTTGGCAACACACTACCTACGGTAGCAGAGGCAGAGGCAGAGGCGCTGAAGAACGGGCCAAACGCTGTCAGCTAAGGTCTCATAATTGTCGCGCCAGAGGGTGTGGCTGGAGCAGGAAGAAGCCACCCCGCTTGCGTCATTGCCATGTCTGTCGCACGGAGCATTTGCTCAACGGCAGCCATGATTGGATATTGTGATTCTGAGAGGGAAAAAGCATGTGACGATCCCAGCTGGCGTCTCGGAAGACAAGCGTCATTGACGTGGATTGACTGATGCGTTCTGACAGCATCAACGAAGCCCAAGAGCCCGCTTTGCCGGATTTTCAACGGGTCTCAGTACGTCGGTCTACCATGGAAGCATGCCTTGACCAGACCTAACATATTACACTACGCCAGTTACCTACTTACTTCGTACGCACCAGCGGCGGTTCCTCGTAGGGGTCGCACAGGCAGATACATAACAAAAAAAGAACACAATGGTCTTTGCTCCATCGTCGCAGTTGGAATCCGAGTCGAGGACTCAATTTCGGCGCTTTCCACGTTTCGTAAGTGCAACAAGCCACCTTTTGTCCATCTGGTATGGTTACAGCTTGGAAGAGGTGCCTGGTCGTCAAGATGACAACAAGCGCCGCCGCCTTGCGAACACTGGCTGAGGCTGTGTGTGTAGGTGCTGTCGTCCAAAGTGGCTTTTTGTGCAACCTTACGAGATATTAATAAGTATCTCAGTTCAGGGCCTCTTTTAGCCCATCTCCTGGGCCAGGACGACCCGTTCGGGTACTATGCTCTGCAAACATAGATCTATACGTCACATTCGCGACCGCGAGTGTCTAGAGGACGATGAACGGGCCAAAGGTGTTGTTGTGCTTACACTGCTTGGGATGATCAGGGCAATAGCCAGGGTGTTGCTGATGCTGACACAGAGGCCTCACCAACCTCTGCCATATGTTACGGGACACACTATTGGCCAATCGAAAACCTGCTCGCTCGCCCGCCCATTCCTTGCATTGGCTTCCGCTTTGTGGCTTATGGATATAAAAAGAGGCCGCATTTGACAATATTAACCTATTACGGTACGTTGCTACTCAACTCTACGGCGTCATCTCATAACGTAGCTCGTCATTCATTCGACTCGGTACGACAGTACAGTAAGTCGCCATTCTTGGAAAATGGCTTCTTCAGGTTTCATTTAAACTAAGGAGATAAAAAAGTGCAAGAGAATAGACGATGCAATACTTGGCGGCATCCCAGAAGATCTTATATCAATCACATGCTTCGAAGCGAAGGACTGACAGTTGGCTGTTTTGAATTCATCATTGGTTGCACAAGTACAACCAGACCCGGTCATTGGAAGTTATTCGGGTTTGACTTCTAGGTAACCCCAGATGATTAGTCATGCATCCCCGCTCGGGCTTATCGACTAAAACCTGCAGAGCGACTTGTCCTTAGGGGTTGTGGGCTCTAATGCCGAGGCCTGACGCTTCCCCAAGCCGAAGCTGGAGACGGCCCCGACTCCAGCCCGGTCCAGGAACCATGCCAACCAACCATAACCAACCATCCATACCTTAGCTTAGCTCCTTGAATCGAGCTTCACGACATGGACTCGTCAACCTCCGACTGCTGATACCTTCTGACTTCAATTGCTCGCACTGCTTGCTCTAACGTCTATCCCTCCACGACCTCGAACCTTTGCGCTCATCATCCTGCGATGCCCACCTGAAGCACGCCACGCTCCGTTGCTTTGAACTGGTCCCGCCTGCTGCTCGATACGATGACAACCTCAGAGCTTGCGCCGCCATCCCTGACCAAGAGGAACAGGAGGTCGCGGAGGCGTCGTCAAGACAAGCCGGCGATCGCAGCAAGGCTAATTCTGGACGATCACGATGCGAGGGGCGATGTCGGTACCTTGTCCGAGGACCTATTCACAGACCTTTTTCCCCACCTCCGTGATGGTAAGAACGCACCTCTGGGAAACGGAAATCTTGACACGCAGTTGTTGATTCCATTGTCTCGCAGTACCCGCTCGTGAAGATGGCTCCGAGGACGTTCACCATGTCGCCATCGCTCCCTGGGAGCCGACCCCGTCTCCGACCGAAACCGCCTGGACGGTAGTGCCCGTAGTCAAGTCCTCGGTGCTCAAACCTTCGACTGTCCAATTCTCACCCTCGTCCTTGTCCCTGCAGAGCTTTGCGACCACTCTTCAGCAGGTTGCGCCGTCGAAGCTCTCGAGCAACAGCCGCAGCGGCATCGAAATCCAGATATTAGACGTGGTTGCACTCTCGTTGGACACAGTATACGTTAGCCTTGAGAGCGAATTGACGAAGCGCTTGGAACAAGGCGAGGGCACCTTTTACCGTGACCATCCAAGCAGCGTTAATGGTAAGGGTTCTGCCGCTCCAGAAACCCCCGAGGCTCGCCTCATCTCTTCGTTGCGCGTGGCTCTGGGAAGTTTGCGAGTTCTTCACTCTGGTGACCTCTTTCCTCTACCGCTACCTCCGCATCCAGTCACCCACATCCCCCCAAATCCAGGCAAGATCATGCTTTGTGAGCCCGTGAGCCAAGGAGTTCTCTCCGAGAGTACAAAGATCGTCTTGATGCGAGGGCGGGTACACACAAAGCGCGGTCAAGCCGCTCCCTCGATCCCCCCGAATCGGAGCCTGAACGGTGTTCCCGATGAAGAGGACGATACCGCCAACGATCAGTTCTTCTCAGCTACAGAAGACAGGTACAAGACGGACTCTGCGAATACCGAAATAGACTCCGTGACCGAGACAGAGGAGTCGGAGCTTTCTGGAATCGACCAAGATGACGATCTCTCTGACGACTCCATGGATGACATGATCTCTCTGCAGGCGCCGATGCTTCCTACGACTGCTGCAAGTGGCGTGTCTACCATGCAGCCGGGATCACCGATGACAATCGGGAGGGGAAGGAAAACCAACGGGATTGCAACTCCCGGCTCCGTCTTCTCCAACTATACTGCAACTACCGCTCGTCCAGACCGACCTCGAGGCCGACTTTTTAAGGCTCAGGGGCTGATTCGAACCATTCCCATGGACCTCCTTCACCCGAAGCCGGCGCCAGAGGATGATGACGAGGCTAGGGTTTTCGTAGACATTGCCTCCTTGTCGAAGATCGGGTGCTTCTCAGGAGACTGGGTCCGCATCGAGGCTGCTGAAGAACCTCCTGCCAACGGGTTTGGCGCCTTTGGACTCGGAAGCTTCACGTCGCTAGACCCGTCTGAGTCCAATTGGCGTCCGGTAAGGGTCTTTGGTCTTCCGGAGGGGTTTTCTCAACGCCCAGTTACACGGATAGCAGGTGCAAAGCATGGCGAACGCAAACTGTCTTTCTTCGATTCCCAACTCCAGAAGCCGACCAGCCCGACAGCCTACATATCTCCCATTCTGTTAGCCAATCTTGATGAACCGTCGTATCTCCGGCTGTCACCTATTAAGCGGGGGACGTATCAAGGAAAGGGAACTCTTCCCAAGTTCACGAACGCCTCGCGTCCCCCGTACGCCCGCGATATCACAATTCAGCATGTCCGGTCACCAGTGACTGCGGAACGAGCTTACCAATCGGCGGTCCTCGGCGGTCTGAAGCGTTACTTTGCTCAGAATATCCGACTTGTACGGACAGGCGATCTTATCGCCGTGCCCATCGACACACAACTGGGCAAAGCGCTGCAAGAGCAACCCGGTGGAAGCAATGGGTCCGAGGTAGACGATGTGATGGCTCTGTCCAAGGAAGGGTCGGCAAGATTTGACCAGGTGGCATGGTTCAAGGTTGGCCACATCCAGATCTCAAAATCCGATGCCGACAACGACCAGTCCGAAGAATTGTGGGGAGGGGTGGCATGCATCGACAGCTCCTCTGTCGCGATGCACGGCTCCGGCTTTGCCACGAGCCGCATACCCGCAACCAAATCCAACACCTGGCCCTATTATCTTGGGGTCAAGAAGATGCCCACCAAAGCACCAAGTGTTTCGACACTGACGCTACCTGACCAGGATCTCCGTTACGTCTCACCTCTCAGAAGACGTTTGCGAGAGTTGTTGGCCGCCGCCACCAGCCCCAGAGCGGTACATCTGAAGATGCCGCCAGTTGCCATTCTTGTCACCGCCACGCATCGCAATATAGGCAAAGCGACTGTGGCTTCGGAAGCCTGCTCCGACATTGGACTCCACACGTACTCGATTGACGCATACGACATCCTCAGTGAGGCAGGGACCAGCGGCAGCGATGTTAAGACAGAAGGTCTCCTGCGAACCAGGGCCGAAAGAGCTATGAGTTGCGGCCCAGAAACCACAGCTTTGCTGATTAGGCATATCGAGGCGTTGACGGCCGACCGCATGGTGTCGACCATGAAGGAGATTTTGCAGGACACAAGAGTGCTAATCGCTACTACCAGTGACGTCGACAAGGTCCCGGATGGAGTCCGAGGTCTCTTTAGCCATGAGCTTGAGATGGGTGCCCCTGACGAAGCTGAACGTGAAGGCATCCTCAGGGCTATTATCGAGGATCGTGGTATCAACCTCGACCCTGAAGTAGACCTCAACGGCGTGGCTCTCAAAACCGCTGCGTTAGTGGCCGGTGACTTAGTGGACGTGGTCGACCGAGCAGTTATCGCACAGCGATTGAGGTTGGAGCAAATATCATCGAGAACAGAAGCTACCGGCCAGGCCGTCACGGTGCGGGATCTCCAGGTAGCTGGTGGACCAATGGCTCGATGCGTCACGAAAGGGGACTTTGAGGTCGCTGTCGAGGCCGCACGGAAGAACTTCGCAGGCGCTATCGGAGCCCCTAAGATTCCGAACGTCACATGGGATGATGTTGGTGGACTGAACAACGTCAAGGATGCTGTGACAGAAACCATTCAGCTCCCCCTGGAGAGACCCGAGCTTTTCGCCAAGGGCATGAAGAAGCGGTCTGGCATCCTCTTCTACGGACCTCCGGGAACCGGAAAGACACTGCTGGCGAAGGCGATCGCGACGGAGTACAGTCTCAACTTCTTCAGCGTCAAGGGTCCCGAGCTGCTCAACATGTACATCGGAGAGTCGGAAGCCAACGTCAGACGAGTCTTCCAGCGTGCCCGCGATGCTCGCCCTTGCGTCGTGTTTTTCGATGAGCTGGATTCCGTTGCGCCGAAGCGCGGAAACCAGGGAGACAGCGGCGGTGTCATGGACCGCATCGTCTCGCAGCTGCTCGCCGAGCTCGACGGCATGTCGGGCGGGGACGACACGAGTGGCGGTGTCTTCGTCATCGGCGCCACCAACCGGCCGGATCTGCTCGATGCCGCCCTGCTCCGTCCCGGACGCTTCGACAAGATGCTCTACCTCGGCGTGTCTGATACCCATGACAAGCAGCTCACAATCCTCGAGGCCCTCACCAGGAAGTAAGTCGCCCAAACCAGTACTTGCCTTCGCTTTGCGCGCACACTAACATCTCCGACCCCAGGTTTACTCTCCATCCCTCGGTCTCCCTGCAGTCCGTCGCTCAGCGGCTCCCGTTCACCTACACGGGCGCCGACTTTTACGCCCTCTGCAGTGACGCAATGCTCAAGGCCGTCACGCGGCAAGCAGCGGCGGTCGACGCCAAGATCCGCGACATCAACGCCGCCCGGGTGCCGTCGCGACCGCCCATCTCGACGGCCTATTTCTTCGACCACCACGCGACGCCTGACGACATTGCCGTCATGGTCACTGAGGAGGACTTCATGAGGGCGCACGAGGAGCTGGTGCCTAGCGTGAGCGCCGGCGAGCTGGCGCACTACGAGAAGGTGAGGGCGAGCTTCGAGGGGTCGCCCGACAAGGAGAAGCAGGCGCAGCAGCCTCAACGCCCCGCGGAGGGGGCGTTCAGGACTGTTTCCGTGTCCTCGGCCGTGTCGAGAGGCAGTTCCAAGGGCAAAGGCAAGGCCGTGGCAGCGTCTTCCAAGGGGAAGGGCAAGGCCGTGGCGACGGGCAGCGATGACGAGTACGAATCCGAGGGCGAGGTCGTGGTAATGAATGGCAAGGGCAAGGGCAAGGGCAAGGCTGTCGCGGGATTCCAAGATGGAACGGCGAGCGACGATGAGGGATTGTATTAAAAAGGGGGAGGTGACAAGCCGCAGATAGTAACGAGCAGCACGCCGACCTACACATGAAACGATAAACCCTTGGGGGGATTCAAAGTGTTTTTTTTTTTGGTGAACGAGTTCCGTAGCGGCAAGAATCGAACTGGAGTGAGATCGCATCCTGTGAAGCAAACAAGCAGCAAGTACTACCCTACAGGAAATGACACACCACACACCCTTACAAAAGAGTACAGTATATGGCGAGGACGGCAATTTTGTCACCATACAATCCAATGCACCGGCCCCACCACGGCATCCAACAAGAAACTTCGCGACTTGGTCCGGCGCAACATAACTACTCCTCAGGTTCCCCCTTAGGCTTAGCTTCTCCCTCAGACTTTGACTCCCCGGGCTTGTTGGGCTCAGCTATCTTTGCCTCTGCCAGCTCCTTCTCCTCTGATTTCGACTTCGCCTTAGCCCCCTCCTGTTTCGTCTCGGGTTTACTCGTATCGTCCTCGTCGCTATCGTCGTCCTCATCCTCGTCATCGTCGTCTTCTTCGTCATCCTCCTCCTCCGGCTGCGGCGCCTTCGTAATAGTCTCGGTCTTTTCGGCTGGTGGAGCTTCCTTCGGTGCCGTCTCCGTTTCCGGCGCGGCGGCCTTGGTGAGGTCTTCGCCTGCCTCCTTTTCGGGGTCTTCTTTGATGGCCTGTGCCTTTTCGACCTCGGCGATCTTCTGCGACACGTCTACGTCTTCGTCGGAATTCTCCTGATCAGGCTCCTCCTTGATAGTCTCGGCATTCTCTACCGCGGCGATCTCTTCCTGGGACACGGACGCCACCGTGGCGCCCATGTGCACCGTAACGGGCTTGTCCACATCGGAGGGCTTCCAACGGGCCGTTGTCGGTGACTGGAGAGTCTCGCGCAGGGCATCGGGATTGATGTTCGTGGCAGCGGCGCCCCAGGAGCCTGTGGTCGGGGACTGGAGACCGACGGGCTTGACGCTCTGGGCCGAGGAACCGCTGCTAGTGCTGGCTAGGAAGGGTTTCCGGGTTGTTTCTGGTGTCTTTGAGACGTCCGTTGCAGCTTCCGCTTTCTTATCGGGTTCGGTGGTGACTACAGATGACGCATCGGTTTCAGGCTTCTTGCCTTCGGCAGTCTTACCGTCTGTCTTGCCATGAACCTTATCGCGCAGGGACTGTAGCCGGAGTTCTTTGGCCTTCTTAGCTGCCTCGTCGGCAATGGAGCGGTGAACGACAGTGGAGGAGTTGTCGGTTGGGGCCTGGGGTGTCTCGACAGACTTGACCTTCGCAGCAGCAGGAGTAGAGCTCTCATCCTTTGGCAAAGGGGGCGCTGGCGGAGGCGCGGGGGCCGATGCAGAAGTGGAAGCAGAGGTGGAGGCATTTCCCGACAACGTGCCCTTGGGCACCTTCTTGATGATCTTCTTCTTGATAGGCTCCTTGGGCTTGTTGTTGATGTCAGGTATAGTAAATTCGTCGTAGTAGATTTTGACGTGCTGCTTGAGCTCGCCATATTCGTTCCATTCTTCGATCTCGGTGATGTCCTGGACAGGAAGGCAGCTTGTCAGCACATGACTCCCTCCACCGAGAGCGGGGTCGGGAAGGAGGGTTCGCTACTTACGCCGAGCACGAGGCCCTCTTGCACAAGAGCCGGGAGCTTTCTCACCCGGCCAGAGGCATCTTTACCGGCACGGCGACCCCAGAGCATACGAGCCTTCTGATCGGTTGCGAGGTCGACGGCCTTGAAGGGTACGCGGTTGGCGCGGAGAATGGTTTCGAGACGAGATGTAGCTGTGACGATATGCGAGGATCCGGCGGTCAGGGAGGTAAAAATCCAGAGAGCCGGATCGGTAGAAAACGTGGTTGCAGTCAACTGCGCCATGACGGTATACTCTGATTCTTGGAGGCGGGGGATGTGCGGGAGGGAGTTGGACAAGTTGCAGGGAAGAGCTTGTGAAGGGGGGGAGGAGGGAAGAAGGAGGGAACAGGTACCAGGAAGCTAAGGAGGGCCCGACGCAGTCAGCAAAGAGTAAGACAGAACCATGGAAGTATCGAGACGCAGACCCAGATGCAGATGCAGATGTAGATGGCACGACGTGGGATAATATGCAGGGTACAAAACGGAGCTCTGCATTACCTACCGTGGATTGAGGATTCTCGATGACATGTAACTGCGTTCCAGGCGAGGCGATGCGGTGCGTTCCGCGGGCAAAGTACCTAGCCAGCCAGTAGCGGACAACACGAGGTCCCACGCAGATGAAACTCGAAGGGTCGTAGGGGAGTGGTAGCGTACCTACCTAGGTACCTGCCTACCTACTTGCCTACCTACTTGCCTACCTACCTACTCGCTTCAGTACCTTACCTTAGGTAGGTGCCTACAGGTACCTAGGTAGGGAGGAACTAGGTACACGAAGGTGCTTATGTAGGTATGTATGGCTAGGCCTTCTTCAGCAGCTTTGCCTTACCTGAGGATTGCGGGGGCGGGGTAGTTCTTTCAGCGAAGCCCCCCATCCGTGTGCTGCCTCGGTACTTACCTAAGGTAAGGATTTTCCTACTCTGGACAGCGAGGTTGTGACGATGGAAGCTAGACAGCGCAGAGAGCCACCCCCGAGTGGTTGGGCTGGCAAGCCTGCAGGATGAGGTGGCCAAAAGTGAAAAGAGGAAAGTGCGACAGCGATGATTGGCGGTGACAAGACCAACAACGCCAATCAATAAACGTCGACACCAGCAAGAGCTTCGCGAGCTGTAGGACACCACACACTACACTTCGACCAACGGGTGATGGTGACGAAGAGGCAGTGACCGCTTCATGCATCGTACACCTGCTGCATCAGCCACAATCGGTATTGGCGACTTTTCACTGCAGACCATCCACCCATGCTTTCCACTGATAACTCGACACACATCTCCTGCACCTTACGTCGCCTACCCGAACGAGGGTCGGTCTCGGCTGAATAGAAGGCTGTGTTGGGTGTTCGGCATCTCCGACCCACGTACGTGCGCGACCGATTCTTTCCCCGTACAACGACGCCGCATCAGAATCCTCTCTCCGCCCATCGGCTTGCCTCGACCGATCGCAGGTACAACCCTCAACGCGTGGCCTAAGCTCTGCCACCAGCGCGGCGGTGATGGTCTCACTATTGCCGTATTGCCATCTCTTACCTGGTCACGTCGAACCAGTTTGCATCTTGGATAAAACCGTTGTGCAGTTCATTGCAGAAACAACAGAATGGTATTCGGAGAATCACGACAAGCAGGGGGCTTACTTGGAACCAACCGTCTCCTAGAATCTGCCGCGTTCGCAGAGAGAAACAACAATACCCACAGTTGACGACGGATGCCAGAGCCGACAAACGATTGTTTCATATGTGCAGGGGTCGTTCGGCGGTCTGGCATTGACCCAACAATGATTTGCCCAAGCACAGCTTCTCGACAACAACGATACGCGCGGCAACACACAAAAGATAGGATCGGGGTTGCTACGGCGTCGGTCCCGATAGCGCATCGATTGTCTGTAATGATCGCTTCCACAAAACCCATAGTCGGAAGGGCTTTCCGCTGTTGACATCATTTTCATCTTCACAGACCTTTCAAAAGCCAATCTCCGTCCAATTGTACTCATCTTGGCCTTATTTCGCAAGAGAGAGCATCCACGTTTGCCTGCGTGATGGATTCCCAAGATCCTGGCCTACAAATACTCTCACCTTCTACGTTGCACATCCCCCTTTCGAATGGGAAATGGCGGTGGAGTCCCCCGTGATTGGGGTAATTTCTCATACCTCTGTATCCGTACAACCGCTACTGACAGGGAAACCGAAAGGGAGCAGCTTATGGCTACACTAGTATCCGTAGGTAATCAAGACAAGGCTGTTGTATTGGCCGTGCCAGGAACAAGCAGCCTAGCTGATGTTTTTTTCCCTTCTTGGTGCCAGGGTCCTGGAGGGTTACACAGTGGAACCTACAAATGACCGAGAAGGGAGAAGAGCAACTTGGAATCTAAATCGACCGAACCATGATTATGGAGCATCGATGCACGGCGTCACTGCAGGCAGAGAAACATTGGAGGGTGCTTCTGTCGCTGGTTGCCCCGTCGTGCACCGTTCCGGTCAACGCATAGCAAGCCGCATCGGCGCCACGGCGAGCGAGTGGGTGCATGCATGCCGAGGGTGGCGGCGACCAAGTGGCTTCTCACAAGGTCAGTCTGCTAACAGCGTACGCCGTATTTTTCTCTCGGGCGGAAAATGAAAAAGATCCGATAACGACCGACACCTCTGGGTTCGACAAGCAATGATTGCAAGCACATTTCCACGCCCCGGAGACGAGAGACTTCCAAGCCTCGCCCCCGTGGCATGGACGCAGGTATGCCCAAAGCTCAGCAATGTGAGCACGCAACATGGCAACAAAGCAACGCAGCGTGCAGCATCGACCTCAGCAACCCCTCGGGCTGGGGCCAGCCGTCTGTCTGCTCACAGGTTAGATGAGTTGTTTTCCAACGCGCCAGGGCACGCTGTTCCTGCATGCTGCTAGGAGGCGATCCGCAAGGGCTCTCCAGGTACGAGCCAGTGAGAGCTGCAGGCTAAGAAGGCTACCGGTAGGGCAATCTAGAGCAAGGTCCCGCCAGCGAAGCCCAAGCCCGCGTCATGCAGTGCCGGTCCACCGATAGGCTTGTGCAGCCAATCAATCATCCGAGCAAGACGAGATCCAATTTTGGACACGCTGCTTATCGCCCGGGCTAACGAGCTGCTTCTGTTTCCTTGGGCCCGTGCTATCCGCTGCTCGGAAGAGAGAGAGACAGGGAGTCGAGAGCCAAGGCCCAGTGATCAAGGGTGCTCCTCCTTCATCTCCTCTCACTCAAGTTTGGCAGCTGGATCGGCACGATAATGTATCTGGCAATGCCCCCCTCAGACTTGGTCGGTCCGTCCACCCCTTGTTCAATCGCTGTCGGATAGCGTAGCACGAGACGAGAAAGCAACAGGGAACGCCGAGAGCTGAGCGCACAGAGATGGGTGTCTGCCCCCCATGTCCTCGCTCGCGCACCTACCGGCTACCCACCCACACACGCCCTCTCCGGCCGCGTAGGCGACCAACGGGGTGTCGACGGAACGGAGGTCCTACAGGCACACGCAGCAACTGAGGAGACGCCATGTCGCCTAGCACTCGCAAAATTTCCGGGAGCCCACGCCTAGCAAACCGCTGCTGGCCATCGTCGTTGTTCGGCCGAGTCATTAAAAGGAGAAATACCTCGCCTGCCCCCTCCCGCCCGATTTAAGGTCTCGCTTCTCCCTCACCGTTACTTTCCTCACTACTACGTCCAGTGTCCACATTCTCTTGCAACTGCTCTCGTCATCGTGCCTTTTTTGCACACCACACTCATTTAACTCATCCTCACGGATCTCGACAAGACAGTTTGGTCAATCTCTTGACATTGCACTCTCTACGGCCCACGCCTGCACGCTCACAGTCCAATCTCGTTTGAAGCGATACTCGACGTTACACCGAATCAGTCAAAATGCGTTTCAACAGCATCTTCGCCCTCATGGCCGCCTCCGTCGCCGTCGCTCAGTCCTCCGCGGATGACACCACCACGACCATGACCGAGACCACCACCAAGACGGTGACCATCACCAAGTGTAACCCGACCAACACGGCGTGCCCCCTGTACACGCCGACCTCAACCATCGTCCCGATCATCAACTCGACAACTTCCACCTCCACACCCTCCTCCTCTTCGTCCCACTTCTTCCCGGCTTCCAACTCCACCAGCTTTGCCGGCCCAACTGCTTCTGCCCCCTGGACCAAGTCTTCCGCCGTCCCCATCAAGACCTCGGCCGACTCGTCCGCTCCCACCGGCGGCTCCGCCGTGCCCTCTTCCCCTGCTAGCGCCGGCTCTGGAATGCTTGTCGTCCAGAGCGGCCTCCTGGCCGCCGTCGTTGGCCTCGCCGCTGTCGCCCTCAACTAAACGGGCCTGGCCCTTGCCACCTAACAATCCGGTCACGATTGTTTAATTCGATTCTTGGCCGACACCACTGTTATTCCCAGGAGACGGGTTGATTGGAGATCTCTTCCATTTGTTATTAAAACTATTCCGGGTGTGCACGAGAAGCGGTTTAGAACCTCGGCTACCTGACGGCCTTCACTTCTGGCATTGGATCCCCGTTTGGACTGTAGGATCGATTGGAGGAGTTTATACCTATTTGGAGATGCTCGCATACATACCCGACAGATGATGCACATACTCTTTTCTTGAATGATACGACCCCGAGATGACTTCATTTTTCATGCCCTTTGGCGGCACTGGCACGCAATGGTTTCGTGAGTGACGCAGCTTACTGGCCGCCAGCAAGCAAGATCATCGATCGGGTGTAGGAATCTGCTCGATTCGCCAGTCTCCATCTCCAAATATTATGCAACATGCCAGTGCTTCGCAGAATTGCCGTATTGTTGATATGCCCGTTCCAGCTCACCTGTTGGTCCGGCCGTAGTGCCGTAGTCTCTCGACGTACCAGAACGCGCATGATCAACTAGCATGGCTAGATCACAACATTCCCACCACCCCCGGTGTCAATCGCATTCCAAACCAAGACTGTCTGATGCCAGCAACATGGGTGGGCATCTTGCCATCCATTCGACAAAAGAAAAGATACAAATGTGGCTCAGACAATGCCATTACTTGCGTCGAACCCAGATCATGGTACTGTCAGCCGTTGGTACTCGCCGACGGCGGACCAATGACGGGCGACTGCTCTCGACACCCATTTGGTTCGAAAGGCAGCCTCGCACGCTGATTCGCTCACGTGGTTACTATACTAAAGGAACGGGCCGCTTTTAGGTCTCGTGAACAAAGACATCCAACGACTTTGCACCTTGCCCGTTGCTTTCTCTTGCCGGTTCCAAGTCCCTTCTTCTACGACCAGCTTTCTATCAAATTAATGTCAACTGATGAGGTTAACACTCGCACAATCATGATGCCGCCCAATCCTCGTTGTGACGTAGCGGATAGAAGCTCACCAACGTCTTCTCGGTTCCTGACAGCCGTACGCCAATCAAGCATGGGCAGTCCGCATCCCTGCAGAGGTCGATCGCATCGACTCCTTCCGACCGACGAGCTCAGCTCTGATGCTGGAGTACCACTTGTCCATTGGCATTGACACGTGAAAGATGGCCATGTGTAGATTAATCTATGCGTTGTACAGTAGCGCAAGCCTCGAATCTCCTTTTCTCCATTTTCAGCTCTACGCATTGCACCGAATGCGAGACACAGGCCGGTTTCCATAGCACACACAAAACAATAGGAAATGGAAAGAAAAATTCTCAACCACCCAACTCAGGGTGGGGGGCTGAGATGCCGTCCTCATTACGGATTATGATTGTGATCGTGTCCAGGGTGCGCGAGCCTCGCGCATGACGGCCGACAGCTGAGAGTCTGTCCTATACCGTCGTGCTGAATCGATTTGAAACTGCTCCTTTGCTCCAGCAGCGACGCAGTCGAGAATCGCACCCAAAATGACCATACAGGCGAGTCGATGTGGTGGACGGAATCGCGTCTTGCGTTCAGGTCGTATGCCGGACAGAGGGTCAGAGAGCGACAGGCCACCACCGGTCGCATTCAGCTGCTCCCCCAAGCGTACGATCCTTCTCTCCTCTCGAGGTCGAGACTCTCAGCACAACCCCTGGGCGCATCGGTCGCATAGACTCTTGTCCGCTGGTATCCGTACTTCGCAACCGCAAACCGACCTGTGGTCACAGAACTTGAGCGCCATGTTGTTTGTCTTCGGCCCGACGCAAGATCGGGCGTCCGTATTCTTGGTATTCGCTATGCTTCTGCAGCATCCCGTCTTCGTCGGATATTCTCTCATCGTGAGCCTCGCACAGTGCTGGGACGGTTTTATCGGCTTGGTCAAGCCGTTCGAATAGCGTTTCACGGCTCGGCCCGTCCAGGCTGCTTTGACGGGGAAACCGGGGCTGCCAAGTTTCGAGAGGGACAACGGACGGCGGAGGCGGACGGCGGGCTCGACTTGTAATACGACACAGGGCTCGGTTAAGGCTAAGCAGGTCGATTGTTTTCTCTCCAAAAGAGCTCCTCGCACGAGCTGGCGGCAAAACTTTTTCTTCTCGCTGATCACCGGCTCCATCGTCCGGGAAGGACAGGATGCATACGCTTTATATGTTTTGCACACCGGAACCACTCGCTCACTTCCGTGCTCGCACGACTTACACCTTACAGCCGACCCGCGTCTCCATGCGGGCGACGAGACGCAGAGGAGCCATGCAGGGTGGCACTTAGCCTACACACTCTCTGCCTAGGCAATTGCCGCCGCCTTGGGTTGCCGCTATGGCATTCAGTACCCTCCTCTGAGAGCCGATCATCTGCTCTCGGGGCACTACGCCGAGCCAGAGGTTCTATGCAAATATGATTGCAGGGCGTCGTTCCGGTTACTAGACCACCTTTTAACCCACCCTCGTTGCCATTCCGCATATTGGACATAGTACTTATGCTGTGTTTTTCCGACTGTGTCACTATCATTGTGTACCTGCGCGACCTTAAAGAGAGGACCGCCTGGATATATAGTACCTTGGTTGTCATCCCGCATTTTGTTTGCCGTGAATCTCCCGGACGCAGGCTCCTCTCCGACAGGTTTCTTTGACAACGACCCTGTCAGCTAGGATGAGGCGAAGGTGGACTTGGCACAGCGGCAAGTTTGTGCCGTTCAGGACTAACACCTGACTCTGAAGCACCGTATTCTGTATGGGCTCGAAAAGTTCTCGATCTCGACATTAACTCCCCGGCCCTCTCTCCCGCATACGCAACAGCGCCACCAATACGGTCCAGTGCCTTGAAGAGCCTGCTCATGACCATCCCCAATCCTCCAACGCAAGCATGTCCCCTACCCTCGATCCATGTCAAGCACCTCACAGTCACGGCATACCTTCGATAGCACCAGATCAGACCAAACCGTGGCCTGCCCTGGCGCAAACACGTCTCGAAATTTCTGATAAGGTGCATTAGTGGATCAGCGTACAGGTACCTGGCCGAGCCTATCCCACTCTAGTGCGCAGCTTGTGGAAACCTAACCATATTCGACATGATGTGGCCGGGGACTTCAACACGCAAGACCCGTTTGTGCTGACAAGGGGTCAGCCGTATCTCAGCTTTTCACCTGCATCGCTGCAGTACGCAAGTCCAATTCACCCGCCATTTCCCACCGGCGAAAACAGCCCGAAACGACGCAGGCAACCTTCCTGGAGCGTCACGTTACGAAATGCGCCGTAGCGGGATCCCTCGCCCTCACCAAAGATGACCGGTACACCGCAACTGCCGTGGAACATGTTCACCGAACAGTGCCGCCATACAACCAAGAGGGGGCGTTCGACGGCCACCGGATCCGGGGCAAGAAATAGGGCGAGGATGTTGTGCAGATGGGATCCTGCGACGGCTAAACAAGCGGCATGGTGGGCAGGCTGGTGCGGCCCCGTTTTCGGGGGGGGGTAGGCAAGCTCACCTTTCCAGAATGCTAACCCGCTGGTGTTGAACACTGAGTATCAGTTCTGCTGCTCCTTTACCCTGGCTCGCGGGTCAGGGGTAAGCTATCACTTCTCAGTTTTGAGCACCGAATCATTGCGTCCATGGAATGGGACGCTACTGTCTTGGAAAGATTTGCCGGCTGCAAACCCACCGGACACTGTGGCAGGGGGGGGAGGGAGCCAAGGTTTGGCAAAGATCAGAGCATGTATGGGATCTTTGTCGTGCTGCGGTGTAGAAACACGCCTTCCGCTCGCGGTCAAATCTGCTCACCAGGAACGTTGTAAACTGCATGCCATCCAGCCCCCCCCCCCCCCCCCCCCACATCTTGGGAACCATGTCGTCGGGATCTGAGAGAGGCTTTTTTCTCTTCCAGTTGGGAGACGGGCCAGGGCCGTTGGGAGCAACGGCACGTCGCCCATTGGTCGCGGGTCATTGTCACCTCCCTCTCTCGCCGTGTGCTCTGTCACTTTGGCGGGACGTCTATCAAGGTCGTCTAGACAGACGGTAATCCTTACGAGAGTGGGGAGGGGAGGGGGTTCCCTCTTACATGTAGGATGAACGCCTGTATCTCCAACCGAGGCACCTTGGACAGTCGACGCCAGCAAATGCCGGGTCGTCCGGAGGCCCTCCCGCGAAAGGCTGGCCATCATGTGCACGAGGTTTAAGTGCTAGGGGCAATTATTTTAACATAGAGTCAGGTCAGGAGCGACAAATCCGAGAGGCCTAGAACCTGCTGGGCACGTTGCACTCGGTGTGCGCGGTCGTCTTCTCCACGTGCCTTTGACCCCTCCCATGCGAGGGTGCGTCCGGGATGGATGTATGCTTTGCAAGAACATGGGCCGAGTTTGTAAAGTCAGGCTTTTGGCTGTCCAGCCGGGGGTCCGCGTCTGCTAGCGGCTTCGGATGACGGCCTCGGATCGCGAGACATCTCCCATATTTGTAAGAACCGAGAGCCTACTGGTCTGGTGCTTGGCAACCTTTGGAAAGTGCTGGCGACTATGAAATGCTTGATAACCGTTGGGCTTTGCCGTTGATACATAGAGCTAGCCCATGGCCCCAGGATGGCAGTGGACTCTTATATGCTTCCTTGGAGGTTATGATCTGACGATATCTCCAAGCACCACTCTTTGTGACTTTTGCACTCACTCGAGCTCTGCCTCTATGCATAGTATACTGGCAACGGAGACGCTCTAGTGACACGGGTTCATTCCGGCATCAAGATTTGACTCGCGAGTCTAACAACCAGTCAAGGCTAGCTGATATGCTGGGTGATCACAAGGATGGGCGTAGGGGGCACCATCATGTCTGGGCTTAGAGAAATTCAGGGGCGTGCATCATCTGCGGAGGGGACGCGGGGGTTATCTTCTTTCCCTGAATCAACGTGTATGTATCTTTATATAGCTGTATATTGCTATGGAATGAATGCATTAAGGACGCCCGTCCGTGTTGATGTTGGCGGCCGCTTGGTCCGTAGGATATCAAGCAAGCGGTTTGTAAAACAGCAGGTTGTCATCAAAACAGCAGGTTGTCATCGGTGTTCGCTGCAATTGCCATCTCGAATCGAAATCTTTGTTTCTTCATAACGTGCTCAGCATGATCACTGCGGCAAAGGTAACGGATCTTTATACGCATCGTACACAGCATCGAGATTGATATGGTGGTGGAGGTCTGTGGCAACTTTGTTGATATTTGCGGCGTAGGACGTGATGTGATTTTGGCAGACTTCGGTCTCGTCCATAACCCTGCTCATATTGCCAGTCTTCTTGTTCTTTGGGAGGCTTTTCTCGGAGTTCATGCTCTCTGTAGCCTCCAGAGCAAGCCCCAACGTCCCCCAGACTGTGATCATGGCCGATCGCCGAACCCTCCCACGCTTCGAGGAAGTGGCTCGTGTCGAACATAAAAGAGGCCGACAGAGTTGCGAGTTGCAGACTGACTCTCGCAAGTGTGCGGCTACCGGCAGGGCTCGAGGCCCCGGCGGCACATGCGTTGGAAGATATTCCCAGATATGCCTTGTTGAGGTTTTAAAGATTGTTAGCCTTGATGGCTTCATCTGGGAAAGCGACTCTATCAATTTCTGCACGCCTGTGTTGGTTTATCGGGTTGTATCTCTACGCCATCCTAAACTTTCCAGGTCTTCCAACGTCGGCGGGTTTGCTGGCGGAGGAGCACAGCCGTGATCGCGGGGCCAGAACGACCTCCAGCCTATGATCTCGTCGCACACATCCTACATAGCTTACCAGTTGGGACCAACATACTGCCGCCAGACAACCCAGCCGTAAGCTGGTCGTGAAGGGATCCGTTGCCAGTGGCCACCACGCAGGTGAATGCCATACTACAAGTTCTCATAGCTGATACTAGATACAACGAAAACTTGCTAAGGCCTCACACCAGAACCATAATCCTCTTGAGGTTAAAGACCTAAGCTTCTTACCCCCTTGAGCACTAGTATCGGAACGACGAAGAGACAGCGCTCGAACAAGCCCTTGTCTCAACATTTCAGATGATAGTCACTCGTACGATTTAATTAAAAACAAAGAGGCCAGAATAGCCCTGCAGGATAAATAAAGCACAAAGCTCTCCCCAAGCACATCGCATTAAGAATAAAAAAGGTTGAAAGTTGTCTATCATCTTGATATGGCGAAGTGCAAAAGTTTCTCCTCGACGGGGAATTGAACCCCGGTCCCCTGCGAGTTGCTGCTATCGCAGTGACAAGCAGATATCCTCACCACTAGACTATCGGGGATATGTGGATGTTCGCATCCAGTGATAGCTGGTTGACAACAACGGCGTATGTTACAATTATACATCTATCAGTGGTGCACGGACACGCCCATTGAGGGCTGTCGCCTGCTCCAACTAGGCCCGAGCAAAAAATGACGAACGAAAACACACTGATTAAAGCTAACGCCCCGGGGTTGTGCCTACCACGCCTAGTGAGGTGAGACAGGGATTGGGACCCTCGAACGGCACACACACCGGCCGCCTGTCAACTAAAAAATGTAAAGCAGCCTATTCCTTGACCAAATCCGAACAAGACGTACAGATTTCTGGATAGAAAACGTTGCCCCACCCTCAGTGTTCAGTGTAGCTAAGGAATCACAAACACAACCCACCACTCCCAAGCCAAGTTACATTCAGCCCCAGCTGCTGAGAAGTCTCAGGACTCCTCCGAAAGGCCGCATAATTAATCACTCACGTGGTTTGCATATCGTGCAAAACTGATCCAGCCGCTTTTGAGGCATTGTTGCTTAATCTGCCCTCACAGCTATTCTCGTTGACCTGTAGCTTCATGCAGCATATATCAGATATTTCAACAAGATACTCAACGCAACGCTGCGGTTCGGCTTTCTAGAAACCCAAAAGGATACAAGCCGAGTACCTGTGACCCATTCTGTTGGGTGTCGAGTTGTCTGGACTGTAGCTTAGCCCCCACCCCGCAACATCCCTTATCCCTCGAGTCTCCATCGCTGCGCATCGTCGCTTTGCCCAAACAAGACGGTCTCTGTCCCCGCAACCTCGCAGAGGTAGACTTCGATGGGACATAAGCTGATGCCATGCTCCTCCTAGCATCCACCTCCCCATCTTCGGATGCGGGACTCCAATCTCGCAACGGGCCTTGTGGCGCAACGGTAGCGCGTTCGACTCCAGATCGAAAGGTTATCTGTTCGAATCAGGTCAGGGTCATACAACGAGAGCCTCTGAAGCATAGCTCCCCATCATTTTTGTTGCTTTTGAAGCCGTGGTGATGTGTCGGTTTATGGAAGCGGAAGAGCTGGACGAGCGAGTTTTGAGCCGGGAACTTGCGAAAGTGGGTCTTCTCAGGAGGCGAACACCATCTGTTTGAAATTCAAATGAGTGGAAAGAGCTCCTCCAGTGATTGCATATACATGTGCGTATGCATGTGCGTGTGCACGTGCGTATGGGGTACATAGCCGACCTCACAGTGGCTCCCTCTCCAAGGTAAGCGTTAGCCACTAGGACAATGGTGTTGGCTCAATCTCGCGATCGTAGCGGTTACGATATGGGGTGAAGCTTACGGTATTGCTCAAGATAGAAGGCAGAAGAGGGCAGCCTGGCCGTAGGCGATATAGCCATGAGTTACTAGCCGGCGTAACTTAATAAGGCAGGGCTCATGTCACTAATCTCACACATTATAGTACAGATATCATAACCTGATCGTGACAGTAAACAAAGTTTGAGGGCATTTGTATTATATTATTTTTATAAGAGATATTTTAGACTCTATAAATATACTTTGCTAGGTCGACGTAAGCTTCAAGGGGAAGTTGGGTCTTGGGGAACGTCAGTCGAGGGATCCTTTTTAGCAGGGCCGTCAGTCGAGGGATCCTTCTTTTCAGGGCCGTCAGTTGAGGTCTCCTTCTTCTCAGCAGGAGCATCAGTCGAGGGATCCTTCTTCTCAGCAGGGCCGTCAGTCGAGGGATCCTTCTTTTCAGGGCCGTCAGTCGAGGGATCCTTCTTTTCAGGAGCATCAGTTGAGGTCTCCTTCTTTTCAGCAGGAGCATCAGTCGAGGGATCCTTCTTCTCAGCAGGGCCGTCAGTCGAGGGATCCTTCTTTTCAGGGCCGTCAGTTGAGGTCTCCTTCTTTTCAGCAGGAGCATCAGTCGAGGGATCCTTCTTCTCAGCAGGGCCGTCAGTCGAGGGATCCTTCTTCTCAGCAGGGCCGTCGGTCGAGGGATCCTTCTTCTCAGCAGGGCCGTCAGTCGAGGGATCCTTCTTTTCAGGGCCGTCAGTCGAGGGATCCTTCTTCTCAGCAGGGCCGTCGGTCGAGGGATCCTTTTTAGCAGGGCCGTCAGTCGAGGGATCCTTCTTTTCAGCAGGAGCATCAGTCGAGGGATCCTTCTTTTCAGGGCCGTCAGTCGAGGGATCCTTCTTTTCAGGGCCGTCGGTCAAGGGATCCTTCTTTTCAGGGCCGTCAGTCGAGTGATCCTCTTCATCAGGAGCGTCGGCCGAGGGATCCTTTTTAGCAGGACCGTTAGTCGAGGGATCCTTTGCAGGAGGAGCAGGAGCGTCGGCCGAGGGATCCTTTTTAGCAGGGCCGTCAGTCGAGTGATCCTCTTCATCAGGAGCGTCGGCCGAGGGATCCTTTTTAGCAGGACCGTTAGTCGAGGGATCCTTTGCAGGAGGAGCAGGAGCGTCAGTCGAGGGATCCTTTGCATCAGGAGCGTCGGCCGAGGGATCCTTTTTAGCAGGGCCGTCAGTCGAGTGATCCTCTTCATCAGGAGCGTCGGCCGAGGGATCCTTTTTAGCAGGACCGTTAGTCGAGGGATCCTTTGCAGGAGGAGCAGGAGCGTCAGTCGAGGGATCCTTTGCATCAGGAGCGTCGGCCGAGGGATCCTTTTTAGCAGGGCCGTCAGTCGAGTGATCCTCTTCATCAGGAGCGTCGGCCGAGGGATCCCCCAAAAGAACTATAATGGCAGTCGAGGGGCCCTCTTTATCAGGGCCGTCAGTCGAGGGATCCTTTGCATCAGGAGCGTCGGCCGAGGGATCCTTTGCAGGAGGAGCAATAGTTGCACCAGGACCAACAGCGATACCCAAGGGATCCTTTGCATCAATAGCAGGATCATTGACCGAGGGATCCTTTGCACCAGGAGCATCAGCGATAGCCAAGGGATCCTTTGCAGCTGTAACATCAGCGTAAGTCGAAGGATCCTTTGCAGCTGGAGCGTCGGCCGAGGGATTCTTTGCAGCTGGAGCGTCAGTCGAGGGACCCTCCTCTACGACACAGTCAGGTGCGTCCGGCAGAGCGCCATAGATGCCAGCCTTGTACGCAGCGTCCAGAGAGTTCTGAAAGTTGGCATCGGTGAATGGCACTTGAGTCTTCTCGTACCGAACATCCGTCAAGGCCTGTCTTGCCGCATCGGAAAGAGTATCCCAGCTGATAAGAGTACGCTGGAAGACGAGGTCGCCTTCAGCCCCACTGAAAGGGGAGATAGCCCTATCCTTTAACTGCAATTTGGGCTGAGTAGCCATGTCGATACCCATAGGTGACGACGTGAAGGATATTTCCCCGGCAGAGGCTGCTTCCCAGTTCATGTGATCGCTTGTGTATGATACGCCAACGGGCCAGAGAGCTGTGGTATCATTGGTGTCACAGCCCCATCTGTTAACCCAGACAACGACGCTGGCCCAGTAATGGCGGTGCCCGTTCTCGGGGCCCTTGGCCCAGCGGACCTTTGGAACATAGTAGCTGTAAAGGACCGCCTGGTGGCCTTGAGTAGTTTGTCCGCTGCGCACGTAGACTTGGCCAGTGCCGCCATTGTCACAACCGCTTCTCCCACCACCGAGAGGTCTCAAACCCGCACTATTTTGAGCGCAGTTAGCTACTGGTGTCATCTGAAGAATAAGGATGCAAAGGAGTCAGCTGGGGGTGTTGCGGTTGCGCCTACTTACCCAAGGTTGCCATTGATATCGACCGCGGCATATGGATCGCAGCCTCCTGCAACGTAGAGGTAAGGATTGAACCGAAGCTCCAACTCGCCGACTTCAGGACTGGCTTTTTGAGTGAACGGGGCGACCTTGTCGTGGTCGATCCAGGGGTGTCCGTTAGAATTATCCAGGCGAGGCAACAGCGACGCACCAACGCCATGAGACAAGGCGGTGTAGCACAGAAGAGAGCCAAGACCTTTGGAGAACATGATTTGTAACGAAAAAGAACGACAAATTAAAGAACGGTGTTATGAGTTAACAAACGAATGGATTCAACAGGGAGGCTGTTGAGAATAGCAAAGGAGAGTTGTAGGATGCACCCATTGTCTATATACTTATATGTCAAAGACAGTCTGCACTATGCACTTGGTTATAACCCAACTAGCATGAATCAAGCCATCCCATAATTAATTTGGTAGTTGATTGCTGTCTACTGGCAAAGTTAATTAGATTGTAGCCACTTCACAAGGTAAAGGATAGTACTTCAATGTAAGTCGGAGAGTCCGATTAATGCAACCGGAGAAGTAAAAATAATGTGTGCTTGAGATCCACTTCCTGCTGATGGGCCAGAGCCCCCCCCACTCACACTGGTTATGGGGCAAAATGCGAATCAACAGAAGCTGTGAACCGGGTGTTACTCAAAGAACAAGAAGACAACGAGCTTCAAGCCATCTTATGGAATGAGGACCATCCGTATGTAGAACGCAGCTAACAAAACAGAAAGTGAGAGCTGGATTTCAGAGGACTCTGTGTATCCAGACCGTACTATGGCAGTACTGTTTTCTCCGCAACAACTTCAGCACTGAGTTTTCCATAAGCAACCTGACCAGAGGCTTGGTATTGCTCCATTCCACAGATCGACCTGCCACGATAGACTTCAACAGCAAAAAGAGTA